AGACGAGACAACGAAATGGACCGAACTGGGAGCGCGCGGAAAGGGACCGGCACTTCCGGCGCAGTCGGTCGACTATGCATGCCGGAAGCACGAGTGCATCTGGCCCGACCCATCGGAAGAGCCGCACCGGCCGACATCCCACCAGAATAGTGATTTAGCACACGATCTCGCAGATATGATTGTCTCCAAAGTTAGGAATCCCCCTGAGAATTTCATCCGGTGGTCCATCGATTTTGGGATGGTGCATTTCCTTTAACGCGACGCCGGAAGAACACTTTTTACCAGCGAAATATAGAAACTAATACTGCCTTTTATTCGGGTACAATATGCGATATTATAAATATTACGTGATTATATAATGTCACGTAACTAAATTTATAAGTGAACAGTGTATGTAGATTTAAGTTGTTTCTGAATTTAAGTATATCAATTTTTATTTTTTTATTTTTCTCTTTTTTTTGAGAAAATTAAGGTTTTCATTTGACGGCTGATCGTAAGAACGCGTAGATGAGAAATGTCCGTAAAGTCTAGTGTTAAGAATCTATGTATGTACTATGGATAAGAAAAAAGTGTAACGGAAGGACTCGTGGAACACACTTGGTAATGAGGTTGCGCAAGAATAGTAGTTAGGCCCGATTTATAGTCAATAGTCATGCAGTATATAAAAGTCATCGAGCCGGTATCTTCTTAGTGATGAATGCAGATGTAACGAGGAGCGCACATGTATGTGCACTTACGTACTCCTATAGGGAAAGGTAGGACATTTTTCAGAATAGTGCATTGTACAAATCACCAAGATGGCGCCACTGAAGTCCGAATCGCGCTCTTTCTCGTTCTCAATGGATGCTCCTACTCTTTAGGTAGGGAAGTACCCTTTGCGCTCCACTTTTGTTTCTCTAAAGCATGTGATTGCGTATTGTTTTTCCTCTGTCAAATTAAAATATCGTTGAAGAATTGTAGATATGTGCTCGTTGAAACCGGATTTATCGGTAATTCCAGATAATGCCAACGCAGTACTCGTGCCATCTAGCGGCACGTCGTTCCATTTTGTAGAGCCTGTTATTAGGTACTTAGGATGGCTCGGCTGCCGTCATAATTGATATTAGAATTTATCCTCCACCACAATTTCACATTCTTAACGCCCACGCTTAACTTTAGGGAAACTTTACGATGTGTATAATAAAACAGTTGCTTGGGAACTTCAGCAATTCCGTTATATTCGTTCCTTGTCCGTGCGGCTTAGAGCTTCTAAAATTAATTTACTCATCATGATACCTTTTTGTATACTATGTACTAGATAAACTAATTATACATACGACCCGAGTAGTCTTAACACCTAATTCGGTATCGGCTTAGATGTACATATGTATTTATATCTCAATTGTCAAAACTCATAATTCTTGTTACCCTTGAGCCTCGAAAACTAATTAAAATGAAATTACCCCGCAATATGGTTGTAAATGTAAATGTAGTAGGTACTAAAAATATAAATAGAGAGTAAGTTTCAATAAACTCACGATCCTTATACGAAAACTACGGAAACGGATAATGGCGGGCATTTTCGGCGAATCGAAAAAAATGGTGGTCATAGCCAAGGGAGCATGTTTGTTTCGTTATTTCGCCATAATAACCGGCTAGCTATAACGAACCCGCTAATTGATCGGTCATTTCGCCATGTTCGGCAAAAGCTGATATCGCGAGGGCGTTAACTTTTAATTTGCTTATCAGAGATTTTCGGGGTACACCGGCGTACCAAAATCTCGCCATAGAGCGGAGTCGTTGACACAACACAGCTCAAGGATTACGCAGCCCCTCTCGCCCTAAATAAAACAAAATAAAAGCATTAAATAACAAATGTCTCCCTCGTTGAATTGTACAATTTGTTAGAACTAGCCTAGAATATTTTCCGCGTTTTCAATGTTTCCTACCTTCTTCCCTAGTAACAGATTTGAATTGGATAATCCACGCATTCTTTATATCAGTTTCCCCCCTTCGGAAAGGGCCCCTTTTGTTTTACATTTTTTACAAGATTATGCCATTTACTCGGATTATTGTTCTGGCTTGGAAAACTATGGCTGGTTCCGTCCTTTCGAGCTGGAATATTAAGGCCTGTAAAGCGACTATGCGGTAGTGGCCATTCAGGCCGGAACCACCGCGTGCAATGCGTTCCATCATAAATTCTCGGGTATATTGCCGCGACTCCGAAGTCCGAGTACAAGCTGCGGTAAAGTTTTACAAACTCGTTACCAAAATGTCAGGTACAGCCGTAACGACTTTAACCGCGCGTGCGGATGCGCAGTGCACGCACGGCGTAGCGCGCGTCGTTCCCAGATTTAAGGATCCCCGGCGAACGACATCGATGCAGATTCTCTGTCCGAGACACGGATTCCTCGAAAAGTCTGCTGACGGAATTATAATTATAATTATAATAAGCTTACGAATAGCTGAACAGAAACATAGCATACGTTAAAGTAAAGAACAAGTACCTGACCTGTGTTCTACAAAAATTGGCCTGGAGAGCGAACATAACCTACACTTCTATCTATACTAGTACGTAAAGAGGAAAATTTTTGTATATACTCGAAAACTCGAAATCTGTTGGATTTCCACAGGACGTGAACGTTAATTTTAATGCTCCATCGCATCGGGGAGCTTATTCTTGAAAAAAAATGACAATTAATTTTTAATTCTCCCTCTCCGTCGTTCTAGCAGAAATTTACTCACCGATCGTCGCTATTCCACCGCTGGGTCAGCAATGTGGTAGTTCGGGTGAGATAAAAAATAATCTTACCATAAAGTACCGTTTAGTACACCTGTGCAATCAAAATTGCAAAGAAAATACGAAACGGCCCAGGTAACGCCGGGTTGATAGCTAGTTTATATAAAGCAGAATACATTACCAGAAAACTGCAGAAACGCGAGCGTAAGTCATTGCCTTCCCTGCAAAATGCATCCGTCTATCTCAGCATTCCAAATAATAGGAACTTTATCACGTTAGATCTTATCATTCGCTCCATAATCTGGCATACCGGAGTGCGCTCTTGTGCACCGCCTGAGATGGAATAAGTTCAGCTCTTAATTTTGAGGTTAAGAACATCCAGTGGTATTCCAAGAGAACAAAACCCTAGTCAAGCATCTCATTATTCGCGAGTACCCTGTGCAAGCGATTGATCAGCCCTGTGGACTAACGTATTTTCCAAATGGTGACTCTGTATTCGGTGGATGCATAAGTATTGGCGCTTTTCTTCACGTTACGTTCCGTGTTAAAAACGCCATTACTTATGCATCAACTCAATACCTCCATTCCGAGTATGTACAGTGGCGGACGTGAATGCCTTCTCCGCGGAGGTGATACCGCCAGCGTAGAAAGGGAGAGCGTTCACGTCCACTACTGTACATCCGATAGATCGAACCTAACTTCGCACATCTCATGTACTCTGTAAATTTCCCATAGCTCGCTAATCTCGCTTGAAGAACAAGGAAGAATGACTCGAGAATCTTACGTAACAAGGACATTGTCATCCCTGCCGGAAATGGTTAAGAAGAAATAGAACTCTCCCTAAAAAGTACGACCGATAAATAATGCCCTGGACGTGTATACACTTGGTAGTGCGCGTTTAACTTTTCAGGCCACGTACATATTTTACGAATTGGCACCATTCCAGCCAGAGGCCGATGTCGCTTTGAAGCGTGTTCTCCCTGACGTCAATTTGCGTTCATACGCATACGAGCGTCTTTTCGTCGCCCTTTCGAAACCCCGTTTGCGTTTCTCCCTCCCTTAAGTGGACCGCAAAAATCGCGGTCCGATTTCTCCCGCTGTAATTTGAGCTTTTGAGGTACCCATAAAACCCAACGTTTGTCCTAATAATTTACGAAACTCAATGTGACGAAAATTGTGATTACCACCAGAACTCCCAATAGATACTTTTTCACTACAAATATTCCTAGGCCCATATCTTCGCTTGCATACACACATCTTACATATTGTTAATGGAGTAAAATTCTGAAATGTTGACCAATAACAACCATCCACCAATTAAGAAACTCAGGCCTAGTCATTATCTGCGATGTTCCGCCAATTGGACAATGAATGTCGTTTTCTGAACCTCTTGAATGAGTAAAGTCAACTTTAACAAGGCCATCGAGATCGAACGATTTAATAATATCGTCTAATCATTATTGTTTACTTTTAACCTCGAAACCCCTCTAAGATATGAATATCATTTTGAACATCGGGATTCCTAGGGATAATGATCAATTTAGCTAATGCGCCGTCTACGTCATACATTGAAGATAGATTCCAATAAAAATGTACGTTTAATTTCGACATTTCTGAGAATATCTGAACATCTCCCTGATACACTTGAAGACGGAAGTCGGGGGCTCTGCGGGGGACCCCCTAGAATTTTTTAATAACGACATGTCGGTTTTTCCTAAAACCCACGGGTTCTGTCCATTGGGACCCTCGTAAGTTAGGAACGTACACGTTCTCATCGTCAGGACTCAGCGAAATGAGGGTAGAAAAAAAAGCACGTACCCTATTTTACCTCTAAAACGGTAGCCTCTGCCACGGCAGCATTTTCCCGGTTCCCGGCGAGCGCGCCGTCTGCATTTCCGCGTTAAATAAATTATTACAACCCTTCCCTTTCATTGTCGCGTTGCCATGAGAACCATAAAATGGTCACACGTAAGGCCACGATTGACATTAAAGTAAACATTTCGGTTTGGCTTTAAAACGGAGATCCGAATAAAGAACTCCATCTTCGCACGTATCTCCTCTAAGCAATTTAGTATTTCCCCTTACTGTTTACTATACAAAGCTTCATTTTTTCTTATTCTACGAAACCACACAAGCAGTCCTTTCGACCACGTGGAGGGATCAAAATGAAGAAAATAAAATGAATCCAAAGCATTGCAACCGAAATCCGAAAACGTACCAAGAGATGCACCTTTGCGTTCGCGAAGGGGGAAGCAAAGAGACGGGGGTCTGTACACCATAATTCGAGCTTACATAATAAAGATTAAGATTTATACAATCCATTAAGGTGTAATACAAATAGTAGGGATTACCATAAATTAACGAGATAGTATTACAATGTTCCTTAGGCGTACGATAAAAAATAATATGTATATGTGCAGATTACTCTATGCGGCATCACTTAATCGGTATATGTACAGGTCTTCCATTCCGCTTGATGGCTGGCGAGTTCCCACACCTCGTGATCGCAAGCGATTCGTCTTTGTTAGAAAAGGGTAAATAAAGCTACTAAGTGCGAAAACTGCCGGGCAGAGGAGACTCGATCGAACGTCGAATGGAGACTAATTGATATCGCCATCCTCGAAAGCGTTCGCCGGCACCTCGAGAAGCGACCCAGAAAGATTCAAAATGGCGTCTCGGTGGCGGACTCAACGCCTACCGATCGCGACTCGAGTTCGCATCTTTCGTTAGCTGCCAAATTCGACACCCCATTCGACGCGTCCAATCGATCGGGTCGTTAAAAAATAATCCCCGCAATCGGCGTCGCCGCGATCGTGCGGTCCTTACCATGTACTCCCTTTTCCCTTTTCCTTCGGCTTAACTCGCGAACGATTTACCGACAAATTATGTACATTGGCCTTTACACGCGTACAAAGTATAACGTTTAATGTTCGGCACCGAAAGTCTAACGTTTAACGGCCGGGAAGCGAAAGTAGAAAGGCGCGATGGGCGTTAAAGAAAGGAAAGAAGAAAAAAAAAGAGACACCTTTGGAAGGACCAAAGAATAAAGGTCGGTGTCGCGAAAATAATCATGAAGTTGGTCCAACGCACATCTCTCTGTACGTAAGAAAATAGTACCGAGCAAAGTGGCTACATGGAAGCAAGTCTGTACTTGGTGGTTCTTTCCCTCCGCACTTTCTTGCTTATTCTCTCCCTATTCTGCGTACTAGGGTCGCTGTATAGGCGAAAAGAAACGGAAAGCACGAAGGGGAACGGAACGAAATCAGGGAAGTTAGGTTTTCCACGTGGTCCCACATTTGCGCGGCGCCACAACGAAACGATTTTCCAAATTACGAATATCTTGGGAAGAAAAACGGGGAACTATATCCTGCCATATATAGTAAGGTAGACTTTAAAAGGTGGCGAGGCTCGTTCGCGCAAACGCCATCGACGTTAACACTCGTGTTTAAAATAGGAAATCAAAGAATATCGGGAGTGCCGGAGCTCCCCAAAATCGTCGGTTAAAATTAAAACCAAAATGTAAAAATCTGACGAGCATACATATTAGTCACGAGCTTCGAGACGCGGTCTGCGCGATTCCCTCTTTCGATCAGATCGTACATATAAATGCCAATTCAGTAATGATGAATCCTTTTCGCGGCGATTGGTATCGCCATTGATAGATGTGTATTTTTAAAAGGCACGACTGCGTGCAACAAGAGCGACCACCGAAAAAAAGAAAAAAAAAACCGATATTTGGCACCGAAGAAAAAAAAGAACGAAGAAGAAGAAATCGTTAATCGCATACACAATAATCCGCAGTAACAACGGAGGACACTTCGGGTCGCCGGCAAGATAGAAAGAATACTAACAAAGTATCATTACATTCGACCGAATCAAAACTGACGGCCACGTCGAACAAATACAACTCGCGACTGTCCTTCCTCTCTCCTCGACGGAAACAATAAACTCAAAGGTGTATTTTTTTGTTCTCTTTTTTTCTTTTTCTTTTAAAGTAACACAAAATTAAGATACTTCCCCTCACGGGAGATACGACAATTCTCAACGAGATACCGCGTTTTTGCCAAGATGTTCCGAGTGCCTCCGTTGGATACCAAGGATAGATTGTCGCGACATTCGACCGAACGAAGAGGACTCTCGTGAAATTAAGATCCACAGCGGACTTAACGCATAATTTGAGACAAAGACCGCCAACGCATACATATACTGAAATCTAGTTGTCATCAACCGACTCTCATGCGTCTCGTACGTATAATAAAAAAAAAAAATCCTGGACGTTGAACATCGCCGAAGGTGCACAGCCAAATAAATAATGTAATTCTAAGCGCCGAACGTTACAAGTTAGCGTCAAGTCCATCACGGAGAGTTCTTAAGGCGAAAGTCCGAATCGCGAGGCGGGTTACAATGACGACGTGTAGCGATTACGTCCTAGAAGGCTCAGCGAATGTCTCGGAGGTTCTTTCGTCGGATGCTCCATCCGGATGGACATGGCGACAGAGCTCGCGAATCGACCGGGATTTCCTCCCAAGGGGCTCTCTCCCTCTGCGACTCACCGGTTCGGGGGGAGGCAAATGTCATCGACAAGAACTCTCCCATTCAAGGCGAGAACCTCTGCCGGAGTCGAGGGCGACAAAAGTTACGCCAAGGGCTGCGCGATTCGCGCTCTCCAAGCCTTAGAGTTCGGACTTGTCCTGAACGGCCTCCTCCGAACAGTTTCTGGGGGTAGAGAAAAAGAGACACTCCAGTCAGTTAACCGATCCACCGATCCGTTCTCGAGACGTGGCGAATGTGGGGGGCAAAAGCTACATGAGGCGGAGGCGCGATATTGGCGCACGCAGTTGCGGGGAGAGAGAGGTGAAAAAACAAGAGCACGGTTAAAAATTAACAGAAAATCAACCGCGCGACCGCGAGCGCTTAGTTTCGTCCACCGAGCCCGACCAAATCCAAGCGCTGCGGTCGGCCCTCGTCGCGTGAAACGATTTACAGAAAGGAAAAAAGCCATACCGCTTTGCGCGTACGAGCTCAAATTGACAAAAAACTCGGAAAGCTGGACAAAATCGTGACTCGTTGGGATTACGGTTCCTCGCACGAGGTAGCATAAGGAGACAAACCCTATTTACGATCGGATCCACGGATCTCGGATTTTCCCTGAACTAACGACGCGAGCGCTACTTGCGGATCGTATAGGAACTACGCGGCCAAATTTCTTATCGATGTAAACCTAAGACGCTTTTAATCGTTCTATTAAGGTACGTAACGTGCAACGATAATCCGCGTATATTATACGGAATGTGAGGTTTTGAATGCGATAAATACTAGTAGACGCGCTACGAGCGGACAATTTTGTAATTGGAAAATTTTACCGAAGAGCCGCTCTCGGCCCTAGATGAGCGGACATCCAAAGATCTTGGGTCCGTAATGTGGAGCCGATTTCGGTACACGGCGTTTTATCTCCTTATACTACCTCGTGGTTCCTCGAATGATTGCGGAGAAAAGCGCCGATCGCGAAGGTCGTCGAGCGGCGTCGAGTCCTTTGACGAGTTCGCTCGACGGCCCGCGAGAAACACAAGTCAAGCCTGCGGGGATTGATTAACGTAAAAAGCCTTTTAATCCTCGACGTGTACCTTAAAGGATCGTAATGTATCTTAAAGTTAAGTTACAATGGTATATGTCTTTCGTATACCGAGATGGCGGCGGTGGGCGAGGTCCCGCGCGTTGGCGGATTTTCTCGTCGCCAGCGAGGATTACACAGAAACTACCATTTCATTGTTTCAACAAAAATGACCGTACTCGCGCCGATTTAACTCGGTGGACTCGATTTAATCGCAATTCACATCGACGTTAAGCTTGGACCGCATAGGCCCGATTAAAAATTCATTACGTAACTAACCATCAATATAGCCGAGGCATATTCAAGATCCAACATCTCTACGTAATAAAAGCGTGAAAAAATTGACACTAATCGAGTAAAGATCGGTAGAAAGTTTTACTTTATAAACCTAACTATACTTCCAGTCTCTGGTATAAAAGATATGTCCATCGGCTGGCCATGCCATCATTTACCTAATCTCAAATCAGTCTTCATTAAATCGGCACGGTCCAAGGGGATTAAGGTCGACGTGAATCGGTGTATACGTAATCGAATCAACCGAGTCTCGACTCCGAGCACTAGAACTGGTCCAAACAAAGAAATTCCTTTTCCTGCACACGATTGTACTCTGAACGGTGTATTAGTAGCGACGGTATATTACTGTTAAGACACGGCGGTGCGGACATTGGCGTTAAAAATAAATAAGTTTAGGTAATTACAAGAGTTAAGTACTAAGGTTATCGACACGCCATCTCGCTGTAGGAACATTTTAGGGACTACGGAGGTGTCCGACGTATATATTCGATCGAGGGACTAAAGGAGAAAATATGTTTCTCTCGCGAGCAGGGAAGAGGTGTCGCTCTTCCCGTATTCGCGAGACGTCGACGAGAATTAACCAAGAAGAAGCGAAGGAGCACGAGGACGTTCGGGCACCGGCTACAACGAAAATTCTATACAAAGTGTCTAATCTCATCGAGGCCTTCGCTAGGATACCGCAAGCGATATTATATATTATCGTTATAACGCGAGATATTATATAGGGTACTACTCGTGCCTTGCGCACGGTTCAATGTACAGCATAATTTACACTCTCGTTTTTCTTTGTTTCTATCCTTCTCAAACTAAGGCACAAGTCGGTTAGGAAACGGACGTCGTAGAGGACGCCGGGCCAAGTTCGCTGGAAATTGAGAATCACGACAAATTCCCGGCCCGATCTCCCTCGTACATTCGAAAAAAAAAAAGAGTCATTTCGAGCGGAGGTGCCGATCGGCTTCCCGGTACGCGTGCTAATTACTTGCCGATTTCTTGTTACACCGTGCCAGGGTTGCCACCGATTTCGAATTTTCAATGGTTCTCACGTATCTACTTCTGCGGGGGGGAATAAAAAAAAGATAAAGAAGGAAATTTTTGGTTTCTTTACGGTAACACTGGTCTCCACGAATTTTCGTTACAGCTAAAGATGTCCGGAAGATGTTAAATGGCTCCTATGTACAACACTCAGCGACGCGTTCTCGTCGCTGCCCTACATTGTCAAACTCCTTGCGACAGTTATAAATTAAATTAAATTAAGTTAAATTAAATTACATTAAATTACATTAAATTAAGTTAATTAGATTTTCTATAAGAAGCGTAACTTAATTTCATATCTGTAGATCCGAACGACAGAAATATCCGCCATTACTTCCGGACACCCGTTCCTAACGGTTAAAAAAAAAAACAAGTCAAGATCACATCGAATGATTAATATCCTGATACCTCATTCGAACCACATTCGAAAACTAACTAGCGAAAGCACCGCACGTTCAGATTTAAGACGTTCCGGCAATTCTCCCCGAAGCAAGCATATCGACCGTCTTTTCTTTTCATTCCAAAAAATGGCAGCCCTACCACAGTAACAATCTTAAACCCTGGTAGCTCTTAATCGCTCGGTTCATCGACTGCCACGTGAACATAAAACCTATGAATAGAAAAAAAAATGAAATATGTCGTTTTTCTGTGACATCAGCATAGAAAAAGATGGCGGAAGATACATCTCGCCGTGTAGTTGGTCAATCGACGAACCGGCGAATCGAGTCTTTGTCATTAACTTTTTCCCTTAGGGTAGCGAACTGGACACGACCCTCTGGCGGACGAGAAAACGCACGGAAAGGATCGACGATGTAGGGAGCAAAAAAAAAGATAAGAAAAAGAGTCGACGAGAAAATGGTTAGCGAAAGAGCCAAGAGCAATGGTAGCCGGTGAAGTCAACAGCTTCGATTATAACCTTCTTAGCGAGGCCATACTCAGCGAGTTGCATTTAGCCTTCCGAGTCGGCTGGACCGACATAGGCGCCACGAGAACGTCGTCTCTAGACGGTGGGCCTGCACCACCATTGCCCAGCTCCTGTAAAGACACAAGGATTGACATTATGATTTTCGACATAGAACTTCTTAAGGCACCTCGAGTCTCGGCAGTCGTGGAATAGGACGCGGAAATAACCCACGTGGAAACTGGTGCACTTCCGTCAGCCAGGTTTAAAAGGCACAAATTTAGTGAAAATTAGACAATTTAACGCTTAACTCCAGATGTATTTTAGTTTCAGGAATACAGGACCCGTGGTTTCAGAGGTCACCTTAATTCTTCCGATTAAGCATCTTTGTAATCAAATAAAATTGATACAGAGTATGGAGAGATTGTACTGGGGAGAAAAAAAGAAAAGAAAAATATGGAGAGAAACAGGAAGGGGTGTACGGCAAGGTGTAGCACTTTGAGACCACGTGTCTGTAGTTAGGAGTTAAACAAAAAATATGTATGTACATATGTCAAAGTGCAACGTCAGCTGAGCCTCTAAACATTACATAAAACCTTTGCGATACATTTTGGAGATTTGGAATTCAAAGAAAAGGATACTTAATCATCGACTTGATCTCATTGTTGATTAATGACCAATTCCCACCTGGACGAAACAAAAAACTAGAAAGATGGGACAAGGCAAGGCGACCTTACAGCGAGACCTCGATACCTTTTTCATTCTAAAAAGACGTCGCGTCACGGATACCTCGCAGACAGGAAAGTAAACGCGAACACAGATTTTGCAGAAAAAAAAGGCATGTATTTCGAACAAGAAAAAGATACTAAGAGAATAACGAGCGAAGGAAATGATACGGAAAAGGATTGCTCAAAAATCTTTCGAGTTGGCCATTCGGAGGAGGACATGTTCTCCGGTAAAACATAACGTTAAGGAAGATAAGAACCGAATCGTCCGAAGATATTACTCGTATCTGCACATCTTGTGCATTGCAGCATTCCCGTAAAACTAGTTCCAAAATGAAAATCTCCCAAGACCGTGTCGACGGTCTGTTCCGCGTTAACGCGAAAAAAAAAGAAATTAAAAAAAAAAGAAAATCTACATTGTACATTTCTCTTTCTTTGTACGTTCCAGAAATGAGATCCGCAGGATTCCATGGAGAATTCCGAATCCCGTTTACTTTAACTGGCGACGCGAAGTATTTTGAGCCAGTCGAAGCACCGCAAGGCGTCGCATTCCTACAAAGAAGTTATTTTTGTCTTTGGAAAATCGGCAGTTTTTTTTTCCCCCGTCGACGGACACATTCCACTCCGGATTACCTTTCACGAAAGAAGATATCAGGAACGATATCGCCAACCGTCATTCTATCCGAAACAATGTTGCGCGGTGAGGTTTACAAAAGAAACCAAAAAAAAACAAAAGAAACAAAAAAGAAAAAGATACGTAACTAGCTACATCGCCGACGTACTTACTTGACTGGTCACGAAAATTGTCCGCAGGTTCAGAAGCATGGACAATTATTTTACAAAAGTGTATTAGCACATCGATCAAAATTGCGAATCCGGAAGCAAATTGATTAACACGGAAATTATGTGCATTTGCCGTTGACAAGAAGCATCGAAACAATACTTGTAAATGTAGAAAAGAGAAGCAGACTCCCTGTCGAAGGAATGGCGTTTTGAACACGTAACATAACGTGTAAAAAAAATGAAAAAATGCCAGTACTTATGCATCAACCCAATATTAAAGAGGAGTAAATTTTCGAAATTCTTTTATCATTGTAACGAAAGTATCCTTACTTAATAAAAGCAACGTCCTTATTAACTCTTAACGACGATAACAACTAGTTTTATATAATAAAAAAAGGATAAACAATGCCAGCTATAAGATTTCTAGTAAAATTATGAATTCAGTGGCGCAGCCAGCATTATCGCAGGGGGAAAGGGGCACTAGAAATATAAGCTCACTTTAGGAAGGGATATAAATTCGATTATCTCTCGATTAATAAACATTTATATATTATTTGAACGTAGTAACAAGAATTAATCATTTATATTAATATAAATATAAAATAAAATATGTATGCTAAAACGAGGGGAGGGAAGGACACTTTACTCCTCAATGGCAGAGTTTCAGAGAAACTTCTCCAAGCTATTCCCTGGCTACGCCACTGGGTATACATGAAGATATAGCAAATGTTTGATATGCAAAGCTAACGTTGATCTCTATCAGTGAGCGTGCTCATCTAAAGCTACAATATTCTCATGGCAGTACAATCAGCAAGCGATTAGAATCTATCATTGCACATAAAAAGGATGCGACTTATCGAACAAGGTGGCCACTAAACGAGCAGAACAGTTAAAATAATTCCAACGAAAAGAAAAAAAAAAAAAGTTCCTCAATATCTCAAAAAATCGTCCAGTGGTCCCAGTCCACGTAGAGTAACTCCCTTCGAAATTTCAACTACCTGGGAGTGGCCACCGTGTCGTCTTTACACTTAAAAATGCCGATTGATCAGAGATTTACCATTTGCTCAACAGTCGCACCTTTGCAGAAAACAAAAATCGAGCCAAGATCCAAAGTCGTTACCCAGACCCGCCAGGATCAACCTGGATCGTACCCTCCGCTATAACCGCACAGACTGTTACTTCTGCAGTGGTGGGAAAAAAGGAAAAAAAAAAATAAATGAGAAGGCCGAGATCAAGTAAGTGCGTTTTGTCATAAGGCAATTAGAGGGCCTTCTTCGCGGTAATGGTTCGATTAATACGCGATCTTCCATCGTAAAAGGAATCGTGAGGGAACACCAAGGAGAGCGGAGATAACAAAGGTGAAGAGAAAATCAGAGGCAAGCTCACGCCGAGGCTAAATAATAACGATGAGTCAACTAACGTTAATATTGTTGCAGCTAGCTAGCCGCATCTGGGCGAGCTGCTGTCCCGCCGGCGTGAGGCTGTTAGTCGATCCGAACGGCGACATCATCGTCGACATCGCTCGCTTCAGCTTGCTGGGGGTCTTGTTGAAGCTAAACGCTCGACCAACCTTCATCCGGGTACGGGACGCGAATCTGTACAGAGGAAAACCTTATAAACATGCTCGCACATTAAAAGGAACACAAATATACGCAAAATGAAACTTCACTTCCTCTCCAGCAATGTATTTGGCACGGGTCCTCTACAAAAGATTCATCTTTGTTTAAAGCTTTAATAAATCAAGTTCCCTCCTGCACTGCTACCGTGCAAGGCGCATAATCTCTTGACATTTATTAGTACCTAGATTAACTAGCCAGTAACTCCTGCCACTCCGGAGACAATTAATTTAATTAGAATAGTTGAATCCACTGCAGATGTCAAAGCTCCGTGTTTTAATTAAGAAAATAGGAAACTCCGTAGTGCTCGGAGAGAGAGAGATATGCATATATGTGTATATACACACACACACGCGCAACAAAAGTTTCAAGAGGAGGTTCAGCTACATTTTCTCCCGCTTGGAAATGTGCTCCGGAGGAAGTAAAGTTTCCGACAGACGGGAGGATAACAGCGGCAAGTTTTAATGAAAAGAGAAACCCCAAAATGCAGAACCAGTTCAAGCGTAACCGGGAATTAAATAAGCCGTCCCGACTCCAAGATCCTGTTATAGTGTTATAATTGTTTAAGTTTCTGACTTAATTAAGGCTCTAAGGTTACGTTCTGCTACGCAAGGGGCACCGATATCTTGGTTTCTCACTATTATTGCCTGTCACTGTAAAGAACTGTCTAAAACTTTGAAACGGTGGACTGGAATCCGTATTCGCATGCTCTGTTAATACAAAAGATTTAAAAAAAAAAAAACGTGGAAAATTAACATTTAATGGACACATTTTTACATATATATTAATAACGGGATCTTATGAATATTGTGAAAATACAGCAAAAAGCACGAATGATCTAACTCAAAAATAACATTAACAGTGTTGAAAATAATGAAATGCAACTTTGTGTATGCCAAACTGCATTGTTAACATTATGAGAAAACAAGGATAATAAACGTGGTATGGATGGTTATGCTTGAACTGGTAAAATCACCACGAAAAGCAATTTCTGTACAAACATTGAAACTCAAATAAAGTAAAATCTACAAAGCGAGGAGTTGGAGACACGTAAGCAAGTAAAAAAACATAATCAGCCTGGTGCTTGAAAACTGACGGTAGAGGGACATGTAATGTAGTTTCACACATGCTACTGAGTAGGAACACATACGGATCCATATACTCCAGAAGAAAATTATGGAATAAGTTCCTGCAACCAAACGGGTCGTCGCCCCATTATTGATGTGTTTACATGCAAAATATAAGAGAGAAAAGAATGGTATTAATTAGAACAGTAGTGCATAAATCAGGGTGTAGTCGACTACCTCAGAGTTGATAAGTGCGATCTTCTATTACGCATTCGTTACGCATGGCTTCGAATAGAAAAAAAAAAGTAGCAACGAAATGCCATCGTCTGAATTAACGACGCGAATAAAATTGAATAATCAGTATATAAAAGTAATTATGATAATTGCGCTTATGTGAATGTATTTCAATCGTGCACGTTCTTTGTTGATTGGTCATTCGTTACAATACGTGGCGGAATGCGCAAAAAAATATAAATGTCGAGTTAAAATCTCCTCACCTAAATGCTTTGCTTAACGTCCCTAACGTTAAATCGCTTGTGTCAATTTCCAGCTGATGCTGATCCAATGTGATCAGGAAGGTGTCCTGGAAAAAAATCGTCGCTCTTCGTCACTTCATTCGAACGCGATGAATTTGTACGTTACAAAGTACTGACAAATCTTCAAATTAAACATTGGAATTTACAGCTAAGGTATAATTGACAACGTACCGCATCAGCTTTGCAGACACTGTTAGCCATTTGCCTGCACAAAGTCCGCAGGTAATTCGTCTTATTCACGTCCTCATCCGTAATGGTGAACGCGAACAGCTTCTCCTTCAATTCCTGGTTGCTCCGTACCATCAGAGCGAAGACTTTTGGACATTCTGTAACAATTAAAATAATTAACACTATCCAAACGAGAAGAAGCAAGTACGACTAATGCACCGATTAACTCACCATCAGTTTCTCGAATGTCCACAACCTTCTTGATGTTACTAAGTGGCAACATCCTCACATGCTTGTACGGCTTGACCTGACTCATCTTAACCGAATGCAGACCATTCGCCGTGTTTGGACTTTTGTGAGAATTAAACTTCGACCGTTTCTTACAAATCTCCAGGGTGTCGGTAAATAAAAATAGCACTAAGGGGTCGCCCCGACCACTCAAGCCTTCGCCGACCTGCGCGACCTCGCATTTACCGATGAAGGACCGGTGCGAGGAGACCAAGTGCGGTGGACAATTGTCGATCTCGTTGAAGATGTCAAACATCACTAGCTGACCCTCGGTCTTTCTTTTGTCTTCATTGATGTAGGTCATAACTTCTTTAATACTACTAATAGACAGTTCCAGAGCACTATGGTCCGGATTGTTCTTATTCGTATGCTTAAGTATATCTGAAACGATAAAGTGAATAATACGTGTCATTCTCCGTACGTTGAATGAAAATTTGAAACACATAATACACGCGCATTTATTAGGTGTATTAAGTCTACTTGAGTAAAACGAAAATAACTCACCGTTTAGTAATAAGCTAATACTGGGCAGCCTCTGCACCGGTTTTATCAACAACTCCTTCAAACTTTGTCTGCCGCATTCGGGTTTGGTCTGGCAGATTTTCAAAAAGGCATGGAATCGCGGCTTGTTTTGGTCACACTGATCCAACATTTCTTTCGTGTTCTCGAAGAAATTTACATAGGGTGGGTACGCCTTCACCAGATCGGGCGCGTACTTCAGGAAGATGTTACCTATACTAACGTCTTCCGTCCAATGAGCGGCGCTGTATCGCAACTCTTCCAGCATCTTCTTATGAACCTCGTAAATCGGCGGGAAGTTACCGAAGATTATCTTTGCTTCCGTACTGTTCAGTAACTCGGCACTAGTTTCTATCAGTTCCTCTAGAGGGGACTTGAACAACTGCGAAATGATTAGATCGTCAACAATTAGCACATTTTACTTATCCAGGGAACAAGAATGAAGCGCAACAGCAGAGCTCACCATCATGATAGTGCTCAGAATTCCCACATAATTTGACTCCGTTTGCACCAATTCGAGGAAGACTTGATGCCGGGGGGAGAGATTTTTCCTGGCGGACTCTGTGCTAACGGCTTCGACCTCTGGAATATCTGTCAGTTACCAATAATTCGGTTCATCGTCATCTCCCCTCTCGTATGGTCCATGGTTAAAATTAGTAGAGCAAAAAATCGATCTCAAAAACCATTATTAAAGAAACAAGCTACTTGTGCCCCTTCGAGTACTCATCGAGGGGAAAGTCGAGTAGCATCAATGACAATATTAGTTGGTTACCTCGGTATCACCAAAACTCTGGTTAATTCCCGTTATCGTTAGTCGGGAATCTACGTCTCATTTAACAAGTCCAATGAACCATAAGATGAAAGAAGATTACGAGCATGTTAATCTGGGAAGGTGGTTGATTCCGAAGGTAAATGAAAACGCGTGCAACAAATGATGACTGTGTGAACCTGAAATTCAGTTTGAGGCACAAATAAAATGAATAGGCTTATTGGAATGTTTCTGCGATGTAGACATTTGTGCCATGTTGTTTTGTTTGTGCTATTTTTTTTTTTACAAAAACCACCGCTGTTAAAAAAATTAACAAATTCCGAAAATGACCATTTTAACGTTTTCGATGTTCTGGGAAGCTCTGAATTTTCCTAACGTTAGAGAACCCATTAAAGTCAAAAAATCAAAATTTTCACGATTTCGGAATTTCCTTGTTTTTGAACAGCTCTGGTTTTGTAAAAAAAAAAATGCCACAAACAAAACACACCATGTCACAAACGTCTACATCACAGAAATATCCCAATAAACCTGTTAATTTTGTTTGTCCCTCAAACTGGATTCCAGGTTTACACAGCTACAAATGATCACTTCAAAATGTACAAACATTTGAAAGCGTTTTTATTCGATGCATGGACTGTGTAGACTCAACCGGATGTAATAATTGAATCACTTCAGGAAATAAACTCACCGTCGAGCAACTGCTTGTCCGGACTCGCCGTGCAGTCTAAAAAACTTCCATTAACACTAAGGTGACCAGCATCGCTGATGCTGGACCGCCGTTTGTGGACGGCAGGCGAATCCGCGCCATTTTGTACCAAACTCGACAAGGTATCCGTCAGCCGTTTGCGTTTTCGTCTCGTAGAGGCACTACTTGGTGTTCCCGCAGGTTGACTGTCCCTCCTCGCCGATGCGGTCGGTGATAAAACTGATTCCAAATACTGTTACAAACAAGGACTTCAATTATTTATACGCGCCAAATTATATCATTATAATTCTGGCATAACAATAATGTACGCGTTGTTAACACATCACCTACCGGCGAATTTGGGAATAAGTGGCAATCACGGGTGTCGCGAAACCGATTAACATGCTTCCGGTAGGTAAAGTATTAACCGCAAATCTTCGGTATACTCACGTCGTCAAAAAGATATTCCTTTTCATTGGCAGCACCTTCGTTTTGCACCGACGTCCAAAACCATTCTGCCTTGACGATGTACGCTCCAGCAGAAGTCAAATCAGGCCGACAGTTAACATTGGATTCGTCCACTACCTGAGAACGAGGATGGGAAATTAGTGACTGGGTAAAGACCGACGTTTTCCAACAAACAAGACGCATTACAAGGACAATCGGTGAAGTTAATTGCACGTGTCGCGAGAACTCATTCCAGGGCAGAAACCGAGGACGACACGTGATGTTAGACTACCTGAAACGTTAAGAAACGAGAAGGATCCTTTTAACATAATACTTTAATACCTAGTTCACCGCAGAACACGATTACCCCTGAAAATATCCTTTCACCAGACATTCAAGATTTACACATCGATCGTAATCCATCCACAACTCGTCCAATACATTAGTACAATAAATATGGGCTCATTGAAAGTCCTTTTAAACGTTAAAAAACGTAGAATAAAAATAGGGACTTTCAATAGCATCTTGTATATAAATTAACGAACTCGAACGTCTCCCACAGACCTCCAGTCAACAGTTTCCGGTGCTACCAAAATGTGGACCCAATCAATTCACCTTAACGGAAAATCATAACATGAGAACGGATATGTTTTACAGTTTACATTAAACAGTCGCATCCATGCTAAGATACAGAGTTTTTCGTGTTTTAATTTAATTAGGAATATTAAATAATACAATATTACGTTTCCTCTGAATCGTATTACAAAATGCACAGAATTTCATAGCAACGACGAAATACAAAGTACTTCGAAATCTGTATAGTATTTTAAAAACTTGTCCGTTATCTTCTAGAGTAATGAAATTTGTATACAATTCCTGCACGTAGATGGACACGACCGTTTAGTTCCACGTATCAAAAACCACGAGTAATAAATCCCTAGAATGGAAAGATCAGAAATACCACTACTAAGTGCTTATTCTCCCGCTTCTTGGTCCGATCTGTTTCCGAAGTCTGAAGCGAAGTCTGAACAGGAACCGAGGAAGGGAGCAGATCGAAGGTTCTGGTGTTAGGGCTGATGGGACACCTCGCATCGCACTCGGAGTTGGCCAGCCTTGCGAGTTTTGCCGGGATGGGAAGAGGACTAGACAAGGGCGTGTACTTCTGTCTGGGCAACGATTCCTCGCGAACCTTACGGCGTGGCGTGACCTGCATGTATTGCTTAAAAGTAGGGACGAGATTAATCTCACCGAGCCTGGAGAGTACGGACCCGCTAAAGTGAAACCCGTTTAAAAACCCCCTGGTCTTTTTCCCCGAAACGGGCGACTCGATTAGAAGGGAGTCGCTCAGCTGGGAGTCGCGTCTCCTCGTCAAATTCGGATGCGAATAGATCTTAATGAACCTCGAGCGATCCGGGACAACGACCTTGGGGACGGTGTTGCAGGACTTGGTCCTCCGCCACTTGATGTACTTCCGGGGAGTGTGAATCTTTTTGGAAGAGATTAATTTCTCCGGTTTAAGCTTTTCCAAGCAGCCCAAGTAAAGAGGCTGCTCGATTTGTTGGGCTCCTGGCAAAGGCGAATCTACAATTTGTGGGATATTATTCCCTAGGTTCCTGCTTCCGAGGTCGTCCGAAGACAGAGTCACGGTTTCGGGATCTACTTCCATTTTGGAACCAGGAGTCTGAGTCTCCGGCGAAGATCTTGTCGAGCTTACGTTCACCGCCATTAAAGAAATAGGAAAATCGAGCCGACGAGAGCTCTTGAAAGCGATGGAAGTTGTTTCCTTAGAGACTCTTGTCAACGAGGGGAAATCAATGCCCGAATCGGACTGCGTGGAGAAATCATCAATGACGGCACCCGATTCTTCGGGGAGACTTTGCGAGTCACTGGATGTGTAGTCCATGAAAATTGCGGAATCGTTGCTCGCATTCCTAACGACAACGCTGCTCGATTCGTGCACCGTTTGCTCGTTATACGCTGGCAATACAGAGGTGCTGTACGGGGACAATGATCCGTTGCTACGTTTGCGGTTAAAGTTTGAAAACTTGGTAATTGGTAGAGTTGTGATATCCTTCAAGTCCGGGCCCGATGGATTCGGAATGGTGTTGGTGTAAGGATCGTAGTAGGCGAACGCAAAGGATTTGGAACGAAGCGGACGAAGTGGGTGAAATGGAGAGCGATTCGAACCAAGGAAGAGGTTTAAATCTAACTGCATAGCGTTTCCTTTGTCCGGCAGCTTGCTGCGCCAGTCTCCGTAGCCAGTTACCTAGGAAATGTAAGTATACGCGACTGATTCAAATGCAGCTATAAGCCCAAAAGGAAATGTGCAAAGTTAGAAAAGATTTAGTTAGCGATCACTACGAATATTATACGCCAATGTTATTTCTCGATGTTACGTGAATCTAAGTAAAATTGAATCTTGTTTAAAATTCCAATGCAGTCTTAGGCTAGGGTCACAAGAGCGCCAAATTTGACGTGCGTTACGACGGATGTTGCAACGAGACGTTGAACGACGCTCGTGTGGTACCCAGTCTGAGATACACGTCTAATGGAACCCTATATGCAAATATAATAAGAAATTCAGGTGTACTTGAAATAATATTAGTACAGTAAAAAGAAAGAGCTACCGATCACTACATCTAATTATTTAGTTAAAACATGCCAATGACACCATTGTGAGTAACTTACCACGTGTGTGCACTCGGGATCGTCAATTTCTGTCGGCTCGCCACCTTGTTGCTGAAGCACCTCGCACATATGTTTTTTTTCTTCCTCTGGGAATCCGAAGAAACAGACTTTTGCGCCAAAAAATGGCTTCAGCTTGAAAGCCGCGATCTATAAAATGTAAAGATTGGTTACTATCACCTACCATGAACTGGCCAGCGAATCGATGGCACTGAAATAATGAATCCAATTAATTTTGGAATTTAAGAAGACTCACCAGGTCCTCGTTATTTCCATGAACGGAAACATCATTTCTGGCATCCCAAAGGGCAGATATCCAGTCTACGGACATGACAGGAACCCTAAACGTGACCGCATACTGGTACTTTTCGCCACGACAGTAACGTGCGATCAGATGAGTGACTTTTGATTCCATATCCCTACGTATGCTGCCACCCATGTAGTGGACCATGTTGATAATTTTATTCTGTAAAAAGAAATAACCATGACCTTGACACCTAACTCATACATTTCGTGACTTTAAAACTACTAACATCTATAACACGACGAATCAAAGCAATCAAATACAGTAAGTTTGTCAGTAATCATTGCTAGTAGGGCTGATAGACGTCGCGCGTGAGATTACTTCTAAATAAAAGCGATTACGCTTTCCCGAGACTTATCTCCTAATCTAAGGCAATCACGAACTCTTATCTCTGAACGCTCCAAGTTGCACCCGTCGTACCATTTACGCCGTTCAAATATCGCAAATGAGAGATGTATGATTGTTAAAAAATAAGAAAAATCAGACATCCTTTATACATACATTTACACTTAATCTTCAACAATACGAATTTCAGATGCTTTATGTTTAAACTGAAATCCGTGCCAGTGAACATTCGTTTCTCTCGTAGTTACATGATCGAAGGATACTTACCAATTGACTTTTCTCTTTTCGTTTTTCTTTGAAACCCGTGAATACTATTATTATTCCTAACATGGCCTGCGTGTACATGGGGCGAGTAATGCTGGGCAGCGATTCTTTTCTTTCTGCCAGTTGCAGAAGTGCCGTTGGTCCCAAAATTCTAATTGAAAGGGAAAAAAAAAGAAGGAAATCAAACGTTACATTTATTCGCACAAATATTATTTAAACAATACTATTAAAAAAAAAACTTTCTTACCTGTGTACCTTACTATTTTTGTACAATGCATCATATTCTAGTCCTTCGAACTTCTTCAGGATAAAATAGGTACAATATGACGTATCCTCGGTATATTCCAAACCTGTTTCGGACTTTAAAACAGGCACATTGAATTCTTGGGCAGCAGCCCCCAGAGTAGGGTCCTCTCCCGCTGCACCAACGAGGCATATCCTCTTTTTCCGTGGTATTATCGTGGCTGAAAGTAAAAATAGTTTTATTTTACTAATGAAACACAGGAATAGCTAATGTAATGAAAAATCGTAACGTCAATAACAATGTAGATTTCACACATTCATTATTATCTATTATACAACGTTAAAGTACATAAGACAGCTAGTCGAGTGAGTGGAAGTGTAATTATGCATAAAACCGTCAAGGGAAACGACCTTGTTAAGGCAAATAGTGAAGCAGCACATAACGAACACAATGCTTAGTGGTTTACGTAGTCAATTGTAATTAGTCACCGACTGCGAGCATGGGAAAACGAGCCTGGGTGATGCTTTCATTGACGTTACTTTGCTGTAGACAAATTTTAGCTTTTTAATGCAGCAAAGAAACAGAAATATTTCTATTTTTTTTTTTTTTTTAACATGTATGGGAAACGAAATTGAAGAAAAGTAAGAACATTTAATTTAATCTTCTAAGTAATTAGACCTGTTAAATTAATGATTCAAAGTCTGTAAAAATATCTCAGAAGAAAGAATATTTTATGTATACACGTTTTGAAGACAGATTTCAACGAAATTAATTTAAATTGGCTTTTCCTGTTCTCATCTCGACTCCCCCTTGTTAAAAGCTCCAGGCAAATTATCAACGTTAGGATGAAGCCAATTCTGATTTATTTATTTGAACGATGCAATTATAAGAGAGTATTTGAAAGAAATTGAACGGTATAAACGTATTATAATCTATAAAAACGTGTTTATAATTCTAAGGATGTATGAAGAATAACAATGTAAGGTTGGAACCAATAAAGGCTTTCTGAATTTCTGGATAGTAGTTTTATAAGGAACACTGTATTACATTGTTGCATGATCTCCAAAGAAGCAAAGGTGACAGAATTGGGGCAGAAAATTCTTCGAAGCATTTCAACTAGAATATTCCAATTGTGATGCTTATCACTCCAGATAATCCTTGAGATAAAAATCTGAACTCCTGAAGAGTTTGAGCAAACGATGACGATTCCTTCTGATATTTATTGCCTACAGCAGACAATGCTTATTCTAATCCTACCCTAAATAAGTAGTGTGTCTATCATTCCTGTAGGAAGCTTAACTACTAGATCAAAAACAGCATATCCTATGCCATTTTGCCTATTCACTTATTCAGTGACTAATTTAAATCCTCCTATCTGCTGACATGTTTGGCATGTCGGGAGAATGATTAGATATTTTTTTTTGCAGAAAGAGGTAAAGTTCGAAAGTTAGTTACAGAAATTGCATTTTCTGTTGAACCCTTGAATACACGATAAACTAATTTACCTTAAGTACGTTTCATTGTATCAAAACATTAAATTAAGGAACTTTCCTGGCTAAATTTAACGTGCTTCCACTAAGTAATATGATGCTTATCTCTTGCAATTCATTTGAGTCAAGATTGCAAAGAAACGCGATAAACCTCCACAGGATATGAATATCGGTGACCGATTATCTTTTCAGCAGAAAATTTGTACCCAGTCAAAGTTATAAAGAACCGTTTGTTCGAAACCGAATACTTAATGTAAACAATGTTATTTTTTAACAAATTTGACAAAATGACCGTACTTGTTAATGCCAAATATACATAAATAATTAATTAAAAACTGGGCAACTTAAAGAGTAAGCTGGGTAACATTTCATGAGAAATAGATAAGAACAAGTGGTGGAGAACTCCTGGTGCGATCATTAAAATCGACAAGTAGTAATTTTATGGATTTCAAAATAAACCTTCTAACATATCCCTTTCTCAAAGAATTACCGGCCACTAACGATATTAAGAACTCACTGCAAAAGATTTGGTCACAGAATTACGACCAGTCGAAGGTTACAAAACTCAAGGTCTTCATCCAAGTAAGCCCACGGTTAACATCTAGTCGAACAATTTCTTAAGCTTCGTCATGAACAGAAAAGAATCGACTACCTCTCGAGCTATAAGCTAAAACTTTACAATGGTATTGCTGTAACCCTGAGTACGCTCTCGCTCTTACCAATGGCCATTGATCTTTCACAAAAGTACGGCGATACCTTCAAAGAAGAGCCATTCTTATCGTGTACTGTCGATTGCTATTCACTTCTGTCGAAGCACTGGGACGGAAGGTACACGAAACAACGTTCGGTCCACCGCAGCAATTCCTGTGCCAAAGCTATCATCTAAAGCCATCGATACCAGCCAACGATATTCCAGATTCAGGCGTTTCCTCAAAGAAGAGATACGTCCACCCGAATTTAAGTCGAGAAATTCGAGGGTACGTCAAGGCCGCGATTCGAAAGTGCGACGAATAAAGAGGGGAAAAGAGTAAGGAAAGCCGGGCTAATAAGCAGGTTGGCGGTGGCGGTCGAGGGATGACAGTTAGGGTCGCCTCGAGGTTAGCTCTAGCTCGTGCAGGTAGGCGGGAAGGCTCGGGTCGAGCCGAAGCTCTCGAGGCCGCCGCCGCGCCGTCGCCGTCGCCGCCTCGACCCGTCCCCGAGGTCCGTGGAGTCAGGACCCTCTCGGGTCGACGTTTCCAGAGCGTGAGCGGCGCACCGCCGACAGACTTACGTTCGCTTTTCGCCGTGTCCTCACTATTTATATCACTGGTGCTGCTGTGAACACTTTGCGCTTCCATTTTGGCCGTTCGTTACAACATCGGTCCACACGTCCGCGCAGAGCCGCGTTCCGCAGGATTTCCCCGAACAAATCCCGGCCACCGTGGACCCCCGACGCCCTCAGCACAGGGACTATCATTTAAAATCCATGGCGAGTGCGCCAGTCACACGAGCCCCACCGTTTCTACACCGGATTCTAGAGGAGACTCGCCAGAGGAGAAACACGCGTAGTCCGTATTTACCAGCGAGCAGTAGCACCGAGTAGCGGCCAGTCGCGCGAGCGCGCACAGTCGGTACCTGTGACCAGGGCGAGGGTCGCGCGGGCGGGCGGTGACCATCCAATGTGCGCGCTGTCTCTCTCCCACTCGCCGCCTCGGCTCGCTCCCTCTCTCTCGCGCGCCTTCACCCTTCGCTCCTCCGTACAGCCTTCGTGGACCCAAGCCTCGTCCGAGCGCGCTCGCTGATTCGCTGGAATACGAATCTCTGGTCACGTGACCTCGCAAACCGAGCCCACGTGACCCACGGAAAAACCGCCGCGCTCCCAGCCGCCCTCGACTCACGGTGCGCTGCAAAATGGCGACCACGCGGCTTCGAATCGCCGAATTGCGCACGTTTTCGCGAAACCTCCGCCTCGATTACCACCGCCTCTTTGTCATGCTCGGAGCGCTCGTTCACAGGGCTCCAGGGTGTGGGGCGGTTTTTTCGAAATTTCGGCGATCTGCCCAATTAGAAACGACCTCGAGGATATCTTTGCAGACGGAAAATTGAAACTCGTTTCCGAAGCGGACATATACCTCGTTTAAATATTTTCGGAAAATAATCCCAACGATTGGTACGGGTTTGCAACAATTTTTCTTTTTCACCTCCCACCTCCAGGTTTTTCTTTACAGAACAATTGGTGATATTAAATCATTCCGAGGGCGCTTCGTCGTGCTTCGAAATTAAACGAATTTCCTAGTGAATGCTTTATAAATTGCAGATTTTGCGGGAAACTTTTGATTAGTTAAAAAAAAAAAATCTTTTTTTTTTATCGCGTGATACCTTCTGAAAACGCAACTCGATGTAAATGAGTAATAGAGGCGTTCTCGTTTTGCGCGACGATTTAGAATATCCTCCCACGCGCACAAATTCCGAAAACGTGAATAACTAGTGGAGGAAAGGGGGGGTCATCGTAATCCGCATTTGGGTACGAAACAGGTAGCTCAATAAACACTAATACGTCGAATGGAGAGTATCCCCATGTCTCTCCCTCTTGACGGCGGTTTTGAGATCCTTGATTTACGATATCCAATATTGCCCATTCATACGCCTGGGTGTTTACTCGGAATAGTTCCACGTGGTACTCGTTTTAAAAGGCTGTCTGCCATTAATCTTATTCAAGGTGTAAGAGACGCATGTCGGATAGGTCTCGTGTCCAGTATTTAAAAGAATCTTCAGAAGCGGTCATTACATAGTTAAAAGGGGGACCCGGTAATTGCAAACGTTATCGAAAGTTTCATTACATCAGTCTCGCTGATAAAGCTCGAGTGCTAACCGGCGAAGGACTTAAACAAACAGTGAACACCCTTTCGCGTCTTGTAAAAAAAGAAATCTTTTAAACAAATATTCCCGTCTAGTACTAGTCGCAATTATCGACGTCTTATAATGTTACCAAGGGTGGATAAGCGTAAGCTCACCTAACAAGGACGAAACTAAACAACAGGCAAATAATAAATAACCGATTGCGAGCAAGTCCCCCGTTGTCGTAGCAGCAAATCACTTTTATTCGAGATTCATTAAAACGGTTGAATGTACTTTTGTACTTATAAACGACGCATTCGACGAAAAACCACTGCGTGCCGCTTAAAATACGTTGTTTATTGTCCCCCGTTAAAAGTGGCGCGTCTCGCCGACAAACGCGAAAGCGGAAAGCTCACTACAACGCGACATAAATCTCCTGATAACAGTATCGACATCTCTCTCTCTCTCTCTCTCTCGACATTTCGACATATTCGGAATTAATAACAACAGCGTGCGGTGGCGTTGGATGTGTGTCAATAAATAAAATACTAGTATGTACAACGTAATACGTAGAGACATAAGGTATTTTTCTACAGCGGGTAAATCTAACGAGGACTGTTTAGCGGAGGAGACATTACGCATTTGCGAGCGATCCCTACGCATCCGAGTAAACTATACAAATCGTATCATTATCGCGTTAATGGACACAATGAAGTATGGACATTAGTTTGAAGCCATTTTATACGAAACATACATGAAAAAGATCTTTATATACTTTCTTCTCACTTAGCGATAAACAGATATTTACGATCAAGTTTAACAGTAATTTGATATTATACCTTCGAGAATTACGCTGCATGATTTTTTGGATTTATTCGACAATGCTAGTTTTTTCTTGGCAGATCTGTTTGGAGAAAAAAAAAAAGAAATTTAAAACACCTTTTGGCGGCGTGTTTTGTTTTGATTTGTTCTTCCCCCCCCCCCCCCCCCTTTGGTGCGTTTCTCGGATCGTAGGCGATCATCTAAAAAAATATTATCTACATGCGCGACGTTTGTCCGCCCTGAAACTTATAATGGAATTAGGCACCGCTGGTACGTGAGAAGGAACAAGGGCATCTTTATCATTTCTTACGCCGTCTTTGCAATTGACCGCCCTGAGACGTCAATATTTTACATAAAAATTGATAAGAGATAAGTTAAACCGTTCGAGCTAGGGGAAACATTTCAGTGGATCTGTTACTGAATGTAATATCGACAAAACTAGTGGAACCAATGTTCCTTGTGTCTTTCGAAAGGTTTCACTTATCTTCCATTAGTTTTTAATGAGACGATCTTAAGCCAAGCACTCACTAATGGAACCGTCCGTTCGCTCATTAGTTAATCAATGAATTATTCCTTTGAATATAGCGTAGATAATTTTTTTTTACCGAGTCAAAGAATTACCTGTTACAAGAAATCATCAACTACCGGTCAACTAGTGTTCTCTTCGACATTATTCAGTAGACCTTTTTACTGACAAACAAATTCCAAATTCTCTTAGTATAACTCTTGCGCGCCTTATCAGATGTGCGACACACATTAATATAATTACAATTCATAAGCGCGACGTTTATATAAAATGTAATGCGAAAGCCATTATGTACGATGACGATGCGCAAACAAAGAATTACGATCGATGATTATAAATATATCGCTCTCGCTATGAAATCGTGCATCTTCGCTCGTGGTATTCCAATCGTATTTATCGTTACTTTCCCTCTCTTTCTGTTTCTTCAGCTCGTGTAACAATTTAGTCGGCTATGACTACAATCATTGTTAGGAGAAGGCACTTTACTGAAATTTATAAAAAGACAATTTACAGGGCAAATATGCCTTTGACACTTTTTTTTTTCACCCCAAATCTAATTACAGGGGTATTCAGGAAAATCATCAATGCAACATACCAGCCAGATTGAGCAATTACTCTTTAAATATTTACCCGAATGGAACGTAATTGAATGAATTTTAAACATGTGTTTTTCTAAATTTCAGCAACAAGTGCTTATAAACCACAACGCATAACGAGTCTGTGCTAGGAATCTATTTTTACGTACTAACTATTGTACCTCCTTAACAAGTTCTGAGCACCTCTGACATGTCAGAGTTACTTATTCCTTTCATCACAGTTACAACAAAAAAAAAAAATACCGTTAGTCGTACATACTCGCCCTTCCTTGATGTTCTTTTTTTTTCCTTTTTTCTTTTTCAATGAATTTGACGGCATTTGATGTATGACGTACCGATGACTGAAAATGACGATTCTTTTCTAAAACGCGACTGCCATCTAATTAACATTTGAATTTCTGTCGTACCGAAGAAATAGCATTCGTTTATAAGTAGATTTATAGTTAGGGATGCAAAAAGAGCGATTACGAATTAACCGATATTACAATACTTTTGTCTGAGTATATCATAAATGTGTAACAAATGCGGTACTTAAGGAAATGAAACTGTTCGCGTGAAATGTGTTTCTCCTTTTCTTGAAAAGTATGAAAGTAAAAAATGTTGAAACGTTATAAATTATATTCGGTGGTCGCGATTGTTAGTTCCGTTGACTAATAGTATCATAAATCGTTCTTTCGCGGTGCAATCGTATTAGTGAATAATCAGCTACACGCATCACGCTCTCGAATTGTTTAGAGTTATCTTGGCAAATGAACTTTTATATTTTCCGAAATCCAACGGAACTTGCGTCCAAGGTTTTATCGTTTCTGCATTAATCGTTAAAATGAATCGTGAAAGTATTGTCACGATAGTTAAACAATAACCGAATCCTCCCGAGGGACGTACACACTCCGTGGATACACACGTCTCATAACTAACATTACACGAGTCTTTAACACTCGATTTTAACATTTTACTCGTACATATGTTGTGACGTTAAGAATCAAATACTCAAATGCCAAACAACGAACGTAATTAAAAGTATTTGATTCCAATCTTAACGGAATTAACGCAGGCCCAAATAGCAGTCTCCAGATGCTGATACAACTCCCAATGTTTAGCAAATAGTTTATATCCGTTGCAAAAGTTTGCGAATCACAATATCTTCCCTACATCCTCACCCCCCCCGAATCGAAAATCCTTGGTTTCTATTCGTTCTCCTAATCTCTAGCTATTAAAAAATATCATGTTCCGCAGAACATAAATCTTTCAACGGCATGGAAATAAAACATTGGACCGGGAATAAATGATCGATACGTCGAAAATACCGATACTTGACGTTTCACGTATTAATATCTCTACAAATCGATACTTTAGCACCAATGCCTTATATTGTAACAACGTACCGACATCTCAGCGTACCGTCTCATCATTTTATTTTTGCATCCCTAGGAGTTCCATAAGGTCTCGCATCTTCCTACGTTAACATTACGATAACTCGACGGTAATATAATTGGACCGAATACACAATGCTTTAGGTCAACCGTAGGTCATTCATCTAATCTAGAGATCTCTCTGTTAAAAAAAAAATGTTCATAGAAAACAGCGATCAAGTTAAAAAAGAAAAAACTCGATTCTACATATCACGATGAAATCATTAAAAGGAGATTGGATACAATCAAGGCTAATCAACGAATGTATGTCAGATCTGAAGGATATAGAATCTGCCGTCAATTGGCACGATATATACAATATCAGCTAATAATTAGGTTTGCACGACGTACTTGCTCAAATCGACTGTCCAAGTTTATGGAAAACTTTCGAAGTGCGGAGGAATCTTCTAAATCGTTCTCGCACGGGCAAAATGCGTTCGGGCTCCATTGCAACGTTCCCGAGCACAGAACGAATATTCGTCCGCAAATAGTTACCGACTTCCCATTCTAACTTCCATTAATGCGCTCGACCCTGTACGACTTGAGGAAAACTATCTTCGAGCTTGAGATACGTAATATGAAGCTCGTAGACGGACCTAGAAACGCTTAATTCGACAGTCTTCGAAAGATGCAACGGCGCTAGTTTTGCTTTTGGTCCGAGCGGAAAGACAGTTCGTTTTCAAACCGTGATCGATTTACTTGGAACGCTGAGCTACTTCTTCGTCGTCGCTGTAGTCATCGCTGAGGTAGTGATTGCTCTCTGGAAATTCATACCGACCGGTCTTCTTTGGCGGTGGGCTGTATGACAAAAAAAAAAAGAATGATTAAACTTTTATTATCATCGAACCCATCATTCAACGTCATATGTTTAACTCCATCAAATATTTCCAAGTTAATCCTGAAACCTATTTACAAATAATGTTGCAAAAATAAATGTTACTTTTCAAGAAAACCGATCTTCCATCGTAACGACGGCTTCTTGAAATTAGTACTCATGGAATTGATGGAAAATGAAAATGGTCTCATTTTTTGAGGCAGGATTAAAAAAAATTCACTAAATCCAGAGTGTTATTCACCTTGTTTGATCTTCATCGTTATGGCTGCCGTTACTGCTATTCGGACTACCATCTCTTTTCGGACTAGCTGGAGGTGAAAGGGCCTGCATCAATCGACCCTTACCCTCGTTCCAAATTGCAGACTGTGAAAAAAAATAAAATAAAGTACGGCTAGAATGTAACTACTCACACAATCGGACTACTCCATTGATGCAATAATAGCGACAAGGTTGAGCAAGGCAATGATTGCTAATAAGTTAGTAACATGCATGATACTCTTACTGGAATGTGTTTTTATCATATAGCTATGGAGGCAAAAAACTAAATTCTTCAAGAAGAACGTACCCTAGCATTATTTCCCACTATAAAGCAAGTAGAACTAATGTAAACTTAGCACACAAATAAAGAACAAACCATGCACCAGTTAGTAAGAAAGCCATTTTATTCCTATAATAGTAATGAATATGCATGTTGTATAAAAAAGCATTGAACAGTTAGGGCGAAGTACAAGACAATTATCAAAAGAATCGCTGCACCAGAAATTTTACCCACCAATCGGCCTTCCCTTCCGAATAGCAGAAGGAAGGCATCGATGAAATCTCGAGATTTTTCCTCCCATTTGCTGAACATGTCTACGCGTTTCTCCCCTATGTTTTCCACGACTCGCTTTCCTTTATCCTTCCAATCGTCGAATTTGTTTTGAAGACGGAACTTTTTCTCCTAAGATCAAGTTTATTAGTTATCAATCGGACTTCTCGAAATGAGAGCACGACCTCTGTTTTACTTACATTGAGAAAAGAAACGTTCAATTCTCTCGCACTATATCCTCGTGCTAGATTTCTTCTGACATAAATATCGTAATCTTTTACTATTCTTGCAACAATGTCCGAAGTCGACACACCTTCTGTCCTCTGTGTAGCAACGAACATCCCTTTCTCCTTCAATGCGGCATAGACATCCGAACCACTGTCAGTCATGTAGGGAATATCATCATGGGCAACAAAGTCGATCTGTAAAGAAAAACACAATAAGGTTGACAAATAATAGTACAATGATATTAAAAATATTCATGCAGTATAATTTTTTATTCTCGTTAGGATTACCTTATGACTCGCAATAAAATCATCATCTAGTTCCCAGGGTGCATCTCTTACTATCTCATCCACATAACGGCAATGTCTGACTGCATCGTATCTTTCAGCATCCGTCATCACAGTTCTTCCTTTTTTACTATGGGTCAACTCATCGTTACATACTGCAATAGTGGATACAATGATACATATGGATATTGACAATTAAATAACCAGCAGGACTTTAGCAATGCTATGTATGCATCTTGTGAAATGCAGCAATGGTGATGTAGATAGTGTCTACATAGTAACGTCATTCTTATAATACTGATTATTTTGCAAGTAGGATGACGCTACATTTCAGATGAGCCCCAGGATATATCTGAAGTGATTGTACGAAAAGAGACGAGCTTTTAATTCTTAAACTTACCTCCTACTATGAGGTATACATTAGGAAATATATTTTTGGCTTGTAAAAGCTGTCGAGCATGCCCTTGATGAAACAGATCGTAAATACCATCTGCGTAGACTCTCACTCTTCTGGGAGCTGAAAAATTGCAAAAGATTTTTGTATGTATAGGCATGATATACGGAATGCAAAGTCAATAATTTTTATAGTCGTGTCTTTACCTTTGCCACTCTTAGCCATTGCCAATGTGATCTTTGTGTTATAGTCGCACTCTTCGCGTGAAATTTGTGCCTCTGGGTCATCGCTAAATGGGGCCTCTTTGCAAATAGACTGAAAGAAATAAAAAAAAGTTATAATCTAATATGAAAGTATGTTAAAAATATGTAATTCGATGGCAGAAATTTGTTCTACGATTTATGATTTTAAAGGCAGTGGTCGCCTGTAAACCCCATAATGGTTCTCAAATATGATTTTGATATTAAACAGAAATGGACTAATATTTGTAACTCCAGTGAATGTGAGTCACTAAGTTAAAATAAAGTGAGACCATCTGCTCTTTTTTAAACAGTTTCATGTTTATTAAACTTTATAGATTATGCGGAAATAAAACCACTGCTTTATCCTTTCGACTTCTTATACAGTTCAAATCACTTGTTTATATATAAAGTCAGCTTACTGGTAATTCAGGAGAGTCTTCTTTCAAACTGTTTGTATAATCCCCATTTTGTTCAGTGGGACATGAAGTAGAATTCAGCATAGTTTCGCCTCTCGTACGCTTTCTTGACATTTTCTTACGACGATTATTTCGTGCCCATGCAGTCTCTAAAGAACTATAACTACGAAATAGAAAACACATTGAAAAGTTAGAACTATTTGTGCATATATCAATGACTTTGTGTGAATTTCATTTAGGACTTATTTCAGATAACAAAGACAAAAAAGATTAAAAACTGAAGACTATTGAAAATCTAGATACTCGTATCCTTTATATAACATTTCAAAATACTTATGTGGCATAGTAATCACACGTTTAACTCTGACACTGTGATAAAAGCATAAGAGATATTAAAGAAATATCTTTACGATTAATAAAACATTGCAATTAAATCATATGCCCGATTCAGAAGAGTGACTAAAAAGGACCGAAATCAATCCCTAAATTTCTCAACATACTATCGTGACTAATTCTATTTCTTAAAGACAATAAATAACATTTTGACATAAAAAGGGAGCTCATTCGAACATTAAACTATTGTAAACATCGAGCTTGCTTATAGAGGGAAATTTGCTTGTCATCGTGTCAGCCTAGGGCTTGAATTTTTACCTTAAACCAATCCTATGCAGCGCGAAGATTCTCGTAGACGATTAAAAATAAAAGTAGATTTAACAATTCCACAGCCTTCAATAGCGAAAGATAAAAGACAAAATCCCAACCTGCTCGAATTTGCCAGCTTTTAAAACAATTTCTTCATCTTTCCAAGGAGAGGTGAATAAAAGAATGAGTAAAAAGTGAATCGAGTCATGGCAAGCTTGATATGGTACTCTCTGAATAGACGTATTTTGCCGGCAAGGTAAGAAAAAGGAGCAACACCACCCAAGATCGTTCCAAACAGTCAAGGTCTGCTCGAAGTTCTAAATCGTAGGAGTTAAAACCAGCAAACCCATAAACTGCGATTGCGATAAGAAGGGATTCTCTTGCATTTCAGGACCCCATGATCCACGTGACCCTCGTCCCTCGTAGAAGGCTGTTTAACATCTCGAAAAGTCCGGAAAGTACGAAAGTAATAGTCTCACAGGTGAGAACGAGGGCAGTCCAGAGCTCGGTTCGTTTTGCCCGAGCCGAGGGCACATTTTTAGAATCGAGGGAACCTTCGACATTTCCTTGACGAAATCGGAGCATGACTCGGTCCCGACTTTCGAGGAGTCGCGTAAGGTCGAATTCTCTCCCAGCCTCGGCGTTCGCGTTCGGATCGCCGAGCCGGGAAACGCACCTTTTTCCTCGCCAAGCCCGTCCCTTCGATCAGCGTCGATGTAGCGCTGGTGTCGAACCGAGTAACCTCCCGGCGGATAGACGATATCGAACAATTCGACGAGCCGCTCGATATTTCCCCGTAATCTCGACGCCACATAAGCCCCGCAATCGTGGGACCCTTCACCCCGGAAAAGAGCAAGCCAAACTGACACCCCGACGCCTCCACGCCGTGTCCTCGTATCCGCGGCTTAGGCCACCGTCAGCTGACCCAGCAGACGCCCGCCACGACGGCCCGCCGAAGCCGGCCGACCGTCCACGTAAACCACCGAGCAACCCCGACCGCGCCCGAACCCTGCCGGAAACCCCCGACTCGCTGAAAATTTACTCCGATCGACTCACGCGTTCACCGCGCCCGGAACGCGGCGCGAGTCCCGTACCACTTATCGCACGCGACATTTCTCGGAATTTAAACATTCGATGATAAACCCGTCACTTCTAGCTACTTCGCCCTGTCTCATTAATTATTCAACTTTCAGAACGCGACATGTTTCCGGTTCCCACGATAAAATCGCAACGTCGCCTCGTTCCGTCCGCTAGCATTCCACCTGGACGTGTCATGCCGAAGAAACCTCCTTTTTAACGCACTCCATTGCATAGGTATCGCCAATGTTCACGAGTACCTCAAAATATTTTCAACATCTTTTCCTGGCGCAATTTAACGGTCAATTTATAATACAGGGAGCGAACGCGTTCCGACCCACGGTTCAAATTTGGCGCGCACGTCCCGCGTCGTCGGTCGCCGAACACAGGAATTAACCTACCTGCCACTTTTCAGGATTATCCTTTCACCCGGCGAGGCGTTATGGTGATTCATTAAAGGACGGATTACGAGCACAGGTCGAGACAGCTCAGTCATGAGACGACCGCCCGGCAAAAGTTCCGATTCTCACGGCGAACTAGGCGCTCGAGTCGCTACTGGTGGAAAGGATCCATGATGTCGCCGCCTTGGGGTAGAGACGGATGATGTAAGATCGCATGATCGGTGACGTCACGCGTGGTGATACGTGGACTTCTCTGACCACTTGCGTTAATGCGACGTCTGATGCGCCGCCAATTCGAGCCGTTTATATATTATAATTACAACGTGATATGTATATATATGTATATATATGTACTTTTCCTTGATTTATGTACGACAAAGAATTCAGAAGTCCCATAGAAGCGCAAGCCCTATGTTAGCGCTCGATGCTCTAAAAGTTGGCTAACAAACCTGAAGTCGGGGTAAAAGAGAGATCGCATGGGTAGCCAACGATATCTCACATACGGGAGGAAGAGAGACGCATATAGAAAGGCAAGAATCGTGTGTAAGATAAAGAAAGAATGTAATTCGCTATATATCGCCATAAGATTAAGAGAGATGGAGAGATGATTAGAGCCACCATCCGTTGGCTAGCATACTATTCATCGAGCATCGAACGTCCGTATCCTTCTGGGCTCTTCTATGGAGACTTCTGATTTGTTTGCATACGAGTGTACGCATATTCATACCAGAGATGAGTTGGGAGACTGCTCACGGGCAGAATCGTGCGATCGCATCCTGTGCTGCCCTCTGGTTTTGTACGTTAGCTTTCACCGTTTTTTGCCCCCAAGGGCGGCGCAACGAATTTCTGATAGGAGCTCGCGCACTAGTGATGGCGGTACCATCTACAAGTCGCCGTTGGCGGCTCACGTACTCGTGATGGTAATACTATGCGGCAGTTGACGGTGGTGGCTTACCTACGCTTACCAACACTGCTCGCTTTTGATGGTAAGGGGAAAACATTCGTAACGCTCCATTTGACTTTATCTACTTATCTACTACTATTAAGTACATTGTTGCCACGAAGTCGACGTGATGCGGAGCTTTGGGGCACGCGTCGGTGTCGCGTACGGAATTCTCATTCAGCGAATCTGCGTGAGTGCGATCGCTCCTAGAAATCTTCGCGCGTCCCAACCAACCAAGCGCCAAGCTACGGGTCGAGATGTTGAATATATGTGCGTTCGGCGCTACACTCGACGAGTATGCGTGAGAGTCGAACACTGCGAAAAATCCTCCCGAGGCTTACCTAACTGCGGATATAAGACGAGTCTTTTCGCGTATGATTTTTACGTTTCCCTACTAGCGTTATCGATCGTTTTTCGACAGTTTTCGAGCGTTTTCGAGCGTTTTCACGCATTTTCAGAGCGTTTTCGAGTGTCATCGAGCGTTTTTAGACCGTTTTTTAGCGTTACGGAGCGTTTTTCAACCGTTTTCGAGTGTCTTTAGAGTGTTTTCACGCGTTTTTCGAGCATTATCGAGCGTTCTTCGAGCGTTTTCGATCGTTATCGATCGTTTACGCGCGTTTTTCAAGTGTTTTAGAGCCTTATCGAAGGCCGTACAGTGCCGTTGCGTGTTGTTAAGTGCAGTAGAGTGCCGGAGAATGCCGGAAAGTTGCCGAAGAGTGCCGGAGAGTTGCCGGAGAGTGCCTGAGAGCGCCGGAGAGTTGCCGGAGAGTGTCGGAGAGTGCCGGAGAGTTGCCGCATCGTGCCGGAGAGTGCCGCAGAGTGCCGCAGAGTGCCGCAGAGTGCCGCCGGAGAGTGCCGAAGAGTTGCTGGAGAGTGCCGGAGAGTGCCGCAGAGTGCCGGAGAGTGCCGAAGAGTTGCTGGAGAGTGCCGGAGAGTGCCGGAGAGTTGCCGCAGAGGGCCGCAGAGTGCCGGAGAAGAGTGCCGGAGAGTTGCCGCAGAGTGCCGGAGAGTTGCCGCAGAGTGCCGGAGAGTGCCGGAGAGTGTCGGAGAGTAGCCGCAGAGTGCCGGAGAGGGCCGTAGAGTGCCGTAGAGTTGCCGCAGAGTGCTGGAGAGTTGCCGCAGAGAGACGAAGAGGGCCGCAGAGTGCCGGAGAGGGCCGTAGAGTGCCGTAGAGTTGCCGCAGAGTGCTGGAGAGTTGCCGCAGAGAGACGAAGAGGGCCGGAGAGTGTCGGAGAGTTGCCGCAGAGTGCCGGAGATTGCCGGAGAGTGCCGGAGAGTGTCGGAGAGTTGCCGGAGAGTTGCCGAAGAGTTGCCGAAGGGTGCCGGAGAGTTGCCGCAGAGTGCCGGAGAGTGACGGAGAGTTGCCGTAGAGTGTCGGAGAGTTGCCGCAGAGTGCCGGAGAGTTGCCGCAGAGAGACGGAGAGGGCCGGAGAGTGCCGGAGAGTGCCGGAGCGTGTCGGAGAGTTGCCGGTGACGTTGCGTTTTCTATCTGCATGTCCATGGGCCATATATAATTGTTACGATGCATATTTATTAAAAATGATTTATACATGAGTCTCTGCGGGAAATGCGGGCAAGTATGACTTGCACGAGTCCGTTTATACACACCACCTTAGGTTTGTACCGCGACGGCTGTAGAGCAATTCCGGAAACTTTTCGTATAAACTGGTATCAGGTAACGCATTTTATTTGGCAATGTTTAATTTTACTTTCCCTTCCAGGAACCATTTCCAGCCGTGAATCAACATGGGATCGTCGATGGAACTCACGCGGCGACGTTTAATCGCCGGCTTATTCCGATCGACGACTAATACCGGTTACATTGAAAGTATGCGAGGTGGGAGATCAAACAATTGAGTCATACTCGTCGAGTGGAATCCATACAGAAAGGAGTATTGCACGTCGTTTATAGAAAACCGTTACGGTCATTAGCATGGTTTGGAAAGTCCACTAGAAGCGGAAGAATGCAACTTCAAAGCGTCGGCGGATGAAGAAAAAAAAGAAGCTTCGCAGGCTTTTATTTGTATACATGATGCAAGTTAATTAGTTTCTACCCGTTTTGATTCAAGGCGATTACGTGGACGTGGAATGAAACAATCGGCTACAAAGCTGACATTTTATTTTAATCAATAATATCTTTACGATAATCTCTATATATTCGTTAGACTTATACTTTCTTAATTTCATTACTTGCTCCGTGCCTTTCTCGCCGTCTCTTGAATCTTTCCTAATATCTCTTTCTTTCTCTTTAGTCCCTCTACGTCGGGGCGATTTCCATCCCGCGACACCTCCACGAGATTGCCTCGATCCCCTCGAGTCACACACGCTCGTGCTCCTCGGTGCAGTAAACATTGCAACAATTGTCTCGCCTTTCGATCTCTAAGCTTCCGGACGTGTTGCAGGTCAGCCGGCAAGTGTGTGGAAAAGTCAAGTAACTTCCCACATAAGTAAGCGATCGATTGACGTTACATTCCTTTTCTTTTTTATATCTACGGAGTTATTGCTTGTCCCTGTTATTCCTCCAGAACCAACCGCGAACTCAGGAGTGCAGTGTAATAATATTTTTACATTAACCCGGAGACGAAGGAAACTGACCGTTCAATGGAGACGTATCAGCTCGCAGAGTGCAGAAAACAAATGGTGGTAGAGTAGCTCTATTCCACTTGAGAGAATATCGAGTCAACTCGCGACTAAAGGGGGAAGTCCACTTTAGGCTTGTTTCGTCTATTCGTTATATCTCAGAGGGTCCCGTTACCGTGAACTCACCATCTCGAGATAGAAGAAGTGTAATCATTCGTGGCAATATGTCTGTACAAGATACAATTCAATTCAGCTGAAAATGCATCGAATTCGGGCGCCACGGTGAACGCTCGAACCCGGCTTTACTCGAGAGACGAGAGAGCCCCAAACGGATCTCGTTAACCATACGTAATATGTTCCGATATCGATATACTTCGTAATATGTACATAGAAAGAAACACTCCTTAATCGACTTCCGTTTATCAATTTGACCTAGGTACAACAAGAGACAAGTCGTCGGCGGGATTCGCCAGTGCCTCACGGACAAGTAGTCTTCTCTCCTCCCTATACACAAGTCCCTTGACGGAGTAGTGGGTGTCGTCGTGATCACGATATCGATATTACGTTCTAGAAATAAATATCTCAACGAAAGCGGAGGTATCACCGAGAGGTTACTCCTCGTGTAAAGTTCTCGCCGATTTAACGCGTCACCGTATACGCATCGTGCGGCGTAATACTGACCGAATGTGTGCAACGCAACGGAAATCGAATTCTTTTCTTTTTTCTCTCTCTCATTGTATTTCTTTCATCTCGTTACCTCGTCCGCGACCACGCAGCCGAGTCGCGCGATTTCTACGAGAACGAGGAAATGTATATATATGTATGTATGTATATATATATATATATAATCGAGGCGCGAGGCCTTAAAGTCAAAACTTGCTAAAATGCCATTTCGAGCGGCGTCCCTTCCTTCCCGTACGAGGGAACGAGCGAAGCACCGCTTGAAATACCGTTTCGTCGAGCTCAGATAAAAAATCCCCGAGGCTGTGTATACAGGAATCGTGTGCAATCGGTGCACGGCCGTGCACGCACTTTACGTTCGACTCAAGAGGCATGCTCGCATGCGATATCCCCGCGGTACCGTCAACACTGCGACATCGTCGATTATTACCATTAAATAACATTTATTGAACCTAAATTTATGAATAAAAAATATCTAAATCACAATGTCATGCCGTCGACCGATAGCAAGTGGGCTGGCTCTGGCCTGTCCGCGCATTTTGGCTTCCATCTAAAGAGACCTTACACAGTCGGTTCCGTCGAGAGACTACGGTGGTAAAAGAGTCGAGGCTCGTCGTCGGAAATAACGAGATCGCAGCGATGAAAGTCCATCGCATAAGTGTATAGTCGCATCGCAAAATCGTCGTAATAAATATAAAAATATGAACTTCAATTGAGAGCTGGGTTTTTCTCTTTTTTTTCTTCTTTTTCATTTTCTCTTTCTTTTCTTTTGTGTGTATCCCCCATTTTTGTCTCTTCTCTCTTCCGTCCAACCTCTTGGTCTTTCGATCGACATTTCGTTCGGCTTTCAACGGCGAACAACGGTCTCTATCCCGGGAGAAGTTCGTTCGAAAGAGCGAACACACCGCTCTCGGCGGGGCGTTAATTAGAGAAACCAAAATAATAAAAAAAAATGCCTATATATTTATATGCATGTACGTTCTTCCAGCTTCGCGTGAATTTCCCCATTATACAATCCTACGTAACACGCGAGGTCGAGAAACCGACGAGGATGCCTCCAGGAATGCCGGCGCAGAGCCCCTCAAAATCGTCTCCCGAAAGTCACGCGGTTTGTCCTTAACCCGCCTCTCCTCGTCGGGATGTTCCGTTGGGTGAAAGCTTAAAAAAAATGTATCCTAAATTTTCGTCAGTGCGAGCCCTTTTCGAGGAATCTAATATATATATATATGAGGACGCGATCTCCGGCGTTTCGACGACCCAATTTCGCGCGGTGAATCTTCAACGAGCGGGGTGACCTATCGCAGCCATCTACAGGGCCGTTGCCGCAACAACCGCCACTTTTTTTATCGTCTTATAAGGGTTTAACAAAAAGGGGGGAAAAAAACATTAAAAAACCGCTCTCAACGGGCGCCTCTCGTTTCAGCTACAGGCGCACCGCACATGCATACTTTCAAGTCATTATTCTACCTTGTAAGACTCTAGGTCACGCTGCTTCTTCAAATGAAGTGACGTTAATGAAATGGCGTTACATCCTCTTTGCGTCATTGGGGAGAATAAAAACGAGCGATGTACCGGGCGTCACCGGGCCTTTGTGTCTCCACAATATATAAAATATAATGAAATGCATGCGATTTATCCAGCAGTTCAACAGCTTGACTTATAATGATATAATAAACATTCGAAAGTATGCGTAGATACGTGCATCTGCGGCGGAAGATTGAGAAGCTGTATCTTTTAACTATCGCGTCGGTTAAAAAAAAAATGTGACGATTACGACCAACAAACCTATACGTTAGGGAGCGAGAAATCACTGATTATCGCTGGGCCGTAAGTGGTCTAGAGATAAACAATTGCTTCAAGTTCTGCCTGACCGATACGGACGTAACGGTATAAATTAGATAAACGGCCGAAAATGAAAAAAAAAAAAAAAAAAAAAAATTGATTGTACATTACGTGTTAGGCTGGCTCGAAAATGTCTAGGTAATCACTAAGGTTACCTAATTTACTGCGATTTCTCTCGTATTCGCGGCTTTCCGTAGTAGCTGCCTAGATCTCTCGGTGTGGATTTCACGAGCAGGGCTTTCGGTGTAGTTCTTGTATGATTTATCTGTTTTTTTTTCTTTTCTTTTCTTTCTTTCGAACTAGGATATTAGAATGTTAAGTCGTGTGAGCACTGGGCTAATTGACGGTTTGAGCACTGAGCGCTTTATGAAGTGCTTGTTGCTGCTCTGTCGTTAACGCGCTTATACACGCTTGGAATAGCGGCTTGTTGTTCTGAAATCAAAGATTGAAGGTATAGAGTACACCATTATACTTAAATACTTGATCAGGAAATTCGTTAGGTTCGCACCAAGTATATGCACACTCTTGTTTGACCGAACAAACTGTATCGTACCTGAATTTGCCTGACGATGTTAAGAATCCTTGGCATAACCGGGTTGTCCGTAGGTATTGCCTCCTTGGAGAGAGCGTCGGCAAAAAAGCTTATTAAACGCGGTAGGTTTACGTTGTTTGGTCCTAAAACTAAGGGGTGGTTCGCCTCTATTAAGTCACACAGGTATCCATAAACGTGAGGAGCCTCTTCTTCGTCCTCCACGACTGGTAGCCAAGACAACCTGTGAGAAATGCGTAAGATTAACACACTAAGAAACTCGCAAGAGTAATGGAATTCTATCTTATGGCATAGAGCCTCACCAATGTGGAAGAATTTTGTCGATGTCGAGAGCCTTGTTGTTGTATTGTAGAATTTTCGTAACGGCGGATATCGCGTTCTCCGTCGAATTAACATTCACTGGGCTTCTAGATTCTGGATCGCTTATCACCTGCATTAAACGCGGCAACGCTTCTGCACAGGCTTGCGCGAATCCTTCTCCTCCGAATTGTCCGAGTACCCCGCAACCGTAAGCGGCAGCCTGCCTGACTTCGGCAGACTTGTCTGACACATACTGAATCATTCGATTTAAAAAGAAGTCCTGATACTTGGCGCACTCTGGACCGCCATGCTCGATCACGTCGTCGAAGACGCACAGAGCCCACTGACGATCGCTCCAGGATCTCTCCGGGGCCAGGAGCTTTACAAAGTGACCACAGATCTGGTCGAAGTAAGGGAAAAACGCAGACTTGTGAGTCTTGAGAAGTGCGTTCATGATGTCCGCGATCTTGCTCAAGGTGTAAATGTCTTCATCGTTCTCGTCCGCTAGTTCTTCCTCGACGACCTAAAATAGACGGATACAAAGATGTTAGAAAAACCCGTGGACCTATTTCGGGATCTATCGCGATGTTCAAAGGGTTTACTTCGTCGTAGTCCTCGTCTTTACGCTTCTCCAACCTGGCAGCAGCCCTGTCGAAGTGTTCGTTGAGCAGCTTGTCGAGTATGTGGATTAGCTCCTCCATGTATTGTGCATTCATGCACCCGGCTCCTAAGGTTTCGATGCACTTGGCCAATGAGTAAAGAAGTTTCAGAAGCACCTCGGATTCTGGTTCCGTGCCGATTGCCTTGAGTAATTCTGGACATATGTATGCCCACATTCCCTCAAGGTATTGCGTCCCTGCGAGCAAAAATATGGATTTACAGGCAAGGTGGTACAACAATATGCAATGTATATTTCTATCTACAATGTAAGCGGATTGCCGAGACGTATGTATGTAGATAAAGTCACCTTTTATTTTCGCACAATTTAAAAGACACGGCAAGCTCTCTGCTGCCGCGATTCTGACTCTGTCGTGGAAGTAGAACTTCAACATCGGGACCATGAGTCGCACGACTTCTTCGGCATAATCCGCAAAGCCTTCTTTCAGCTCGCGCGCATAGCACACCAACATTTCACATGCCGATGCCTTGTCTTCCAACCCGGCAGTTTTGATTCCGAAATTTTGTTGCTCTCCCAGAGATACGAATTGCCAGTCAAGATCTCTCTCGACACCTTCCATATCCTCGTTATCCAGCAACGCTACTTCGGGCTTTATCGACGCTGTACGTAGAACCGTACCCATCACCAAGGGTAAATATTGCTCGAATTGTTTGCCTTTTAACAGAATATATTAATTATCACTTAAACTGAATAATTATGGAAGGATTAAGAGTAGTCTTGCACAAGTAACAATTGAATATTCGATTTCATTTTTGGAAAGTAACTAAATCAATTACTGAGTAAGAACAAGGGGGTTTAGAAGTATAACTGTAAATAAAGAAGAACGTATGCTAATGAAAAAGAAATGTTAGGTAATACGTCATTGTTACTAAAAAGGATTAAAGATACATTACCAAGTATTCTGCACATCCGGGCCCAAGCGGAAATGAGATAGCTCGTCTGAGGATCATCGTCCGAAAGATCTCCTTCCGTGTGCGTCTTCAGCAACAAGTCCATGACTTCATTGGCATCCACGATAAACTACAGAAATAGAAATTTCAATTAATTCCAGAAAATGTACACATGTAAAATACTTAAAATTGTTCTAAAACATCGAATTATTGAATATGATGAATCGGTCATTTACCTTTTCCCGACCAACAGCCATGCCAATAAGACTGACGCATTCGATCGTCTTGCCACGTAGCATCTTGTGTTCTTCCTGATTGGCATTCTGTAGTATATACTTAAGGCAAGGCATTAATCTATCATAGTAGGCTACGAACTGTTCCTCGCACGTGTCAGCAACAGAAGCGATGGTCGTGACGACCTAACAAACATGTAGTTAAATTTTAATTACCGATTACAAGCGATTTATTCTAAATTACACTGATTTTGCGGCGTATGTATCCAACCAACCTGCTCCAGGACTAATTTCGTTCCCTTCTCGACGAGTTCTTGAAACTTTGCAGTAAGGATTGGCTCGAGCTTAGCCATTATAGCGTCGAGATAAGAAATTAAAGTACTTTTTGGGCAATCCTCGCTAAAATTGATGAGCGCAGCACCGGCGTGAGCTTGCACCCTGGGATTCGCGTTGTCATCGAGGACCATCAGAAGTCCGGGAATGACTTTGTCGTGGAACTTCCTCTCGAAGGACGGTCCAAAATCAGAAGACATTTGTCCGATGGCGTTGCAAGCAGCGTACCTTACTCGTGGGTGCTGATTGAAAAAGAAAACAGAAATATGTATACGATTGATTCAATAATTAGATTTATTATTCGGCAGGGTCATTTAGTTATTTACAACGAGAAAAGGTTTGTATGTTCCAATACTATGAATGTGGTAAAGAAATAACACATTCAACTCTCAGGAACTTCCATCAAGGAGTCTCCGTATCCAAGATATCAATACGACGCCAAGGAACAAGACGACCTCGATGAGGTACTCTACCACAGACGTAACGCTGTCATAGTTGTGAATTAAACTTGACTGCTGACTCGATCCGTGGTATTATTTTTGAAGGCTTAAAAATGATACTACTATACCGAGTTTAATAATGAATCACAAACGCCAGCAATTGAAAACAGAATTTAGACTCACGGGATCTTGTAAATACTGCATTACGCCTTCCAGGAGTTCTGGCAATATAAGTTCCATCTGTTTGTGACATCCTTCACCAACCGCAGAAATAGCCATAAGAGCAGCGTATCTGGAGGGTACAGTATTATTCAGGAATTAAAAACGACAAGTAGTATAGTAGAGGTAGCTTATAGCTAAAAATGGTGTATGTTGTGTTCCGGAATCACGACTATTTCAGAAAACAACAGTCGATGTTCACGAGCACTCAGCACAGTCTTCTAAATTTAATCTAACAGTACGCTAGATCAAATAGAGGACACCTTGCTAATTGTTATTCCACACGTGTAACACAAAGTAACTTTAAATAAAAGTACTTGCTGACAGCGTGTGGCATTTCAGTTGCATAATACTACCATTGGAAATGGAATATACCTGTACTTCCAATCGCTGTTGCTCAGCATTGAAGGAATATTCTGTATTATTTGTGGCAATATAGTTTTTCCTCCCAGGCCACATGCCAGCCGATCCAGGGCACTTTCCGCAGCTACAGTGTTGCTATCGCTGTTTTCTTCAAAGAGTTTGTCAGAGAAGCTCCATTCTTCGTCTTCTTCAATGTTTGTCATCGTTTTCAAAAGAACCGGTATCAGTGTTATAACATATTTTCCACCGACCTTGCGCATCATCGCCGGAGCAGTTTCAGCTAACGTTACGAGGACTTCTAAAGCCAACTGTCTCCAGGAGTCGCCCATTTCTTCATTAGAGAAAATCTTTATACACATCTCCATTATATTTTCCAGTTGAGGTCTCAAGAATTTCGGTGTGGATCCAGCCAAGTCTATCAGGACCTTCAACAGGGCTTCGTCGTCTTGCTTCTCGACCGATTGTGCAGTTACTTGGATAACCGCTGGCAGCAGCTCAGTGAAATGCTTCTGAATGTTTGTTTCCTTTTCGTGTAGCGCTATGAATGCACCGATCGCTCTCACAGCTTGGAATCTGACCTGAATAACAAACAGGCACATCTCTATTGCAGACCATTCATGTCCGTGAAATGAGTCATGGTGCAGGCGAAAACTGTTACAAAGAAAAATAAGTTAGGGCTACGTAACATGCTGACGCGACTAATTGTTTGATCTGTACGCCCCGTATCTGTCTGCAAATTACCGCTTCACAAGTTACAGTCATCAGAGAGCGATTAATTTTGGGAGATTTTGTGACGAATACACGTAAACTGATTTATGTATCGCGTATCAATCTCCCTCATCAATCAAGCAGTTTCGTCATCTGCAAAAAAAAAAAAAGGAGAAACATTTAAAACACTTACTTCATAATTTGCGTTATCCAAGAGTGATTGCTGCAACATTTGTTTTATAAGATCCAGGTAATGTGCCTGCTGGTTTCCGAAAACTCCTGGGACGGATCTGTAATTATTTTCTTTATTAGCAATAATTACTTAATGCAACGAATTTAAAGGGAACCTACATAAACATACGAAGAGCGCTCTCTCTAAGTGCTGGTATCGTGCCATTTGCACACTGAAATAGGAACTGAAGAAACTCCGGCCACTGATTGTTGCCATCTTCATCTATTAGGTTTCTTGCGACTTCTGCAGCAACTTCACAGACTTTCCGCCTGATGGTATCCGTCTGTTCATTTTGTACACATAATAATATTTGTTCTCTCAGCTGATTTTGTGCTTCTGGTGGTATCTGAAACGTCAAATTTAAATTTCTTTAATTTAAAGAGAACAATTGTGATGTGATAATTAGTAGTGATTTTCATATCTTTTGTATCTAAAAAAATTAATAACAAACTATGACTGCTACAAATTTGTAAACAAATGTAATTATATGTAGATGAGTAATGCAACAATGTGCCATACCTTGGGATAAAAATCTGTGAATTCCAAGGAGAAAAGGCGGCGCAGTAAGACTGCCGCCATTGCTCGGATTTCCTCTGCAAGGGTTGCATTGCAAATAGAGCTGAGTAAAAATGTCACTTTACTTTCCACTGGAAGATTGTTATATGCCTCCTGTGTAAGAAAAATTCATGTATTTCATACTCTTTTTCCATATTACTAAATCACGAAATTTGGCAAAACGACAAATAATTTCACAGAACAATAAAATAATCATTAAATCTACAGATATGACAAAGTCAGTGTTCTTCACACTGATATTTTTTAAGTAACACGTGCAACATTTTTTATAGATCTTTGGCATACACGTGCATATCTAATCGCAAGTAATATAAAGATAATGAGTTGGAAGCGTGCGTCCATAATCCTCTTATAATACGTTCTCATAACGTTAAATATGTGCTCAGCTGTATCTCGTAATAACTCGATAAATAAATCATTACCAAATATTTAGATTACAGCCATTTCCTATTCAACTACTTTTTCAGGAATATTCATTAGGCCATTAAATGAAATAAAAAGTTAAATTCTGAGTATGTATAGCTTATACTAACGGCAGTCAGCTATGGACATTATGCGCATTGGTATTGCAAAGTCATCTAATCAGAAGCGCTAATTACTGGATGTTAGATCTAGACTATGCTCGAATAATCTGATTATTTAAAAGAAAAAGTTCACACGCGTGTTTCAAACATCATTACCTATTGCACATGGACGTAAAGTACGTTCAACATAAATCTCCACGTTTGCCATGCAACGGGAGAAAAAATAAATAAAATTGTGATATACATTTAAAGAATCCAGATTCACAATGTAAATGCAGTCATTATTTACACTGCCATTATGTACAATTTCTACTTTGGCATCTGGCAAAGGATCGATCACCCTACTCATTAAAGGACGTGCTCCCACTTGAGTTCTCTTAAATCCACCTATCTCGTGAATGAGAAAAATGACCTAACCAATGAAAATCAACAGTGGCGGTGAGGAGTAGGCGGGAAAACGAGGTAAAGTCATCCATGATGCCAAAAAGCCGCCTTATGCGGCGACACGTGTCTCGAGGAGCAGCCCGGTACATAGATATATGTTAGGCCGACTCAAGGAAAAACCAGTTGCCATGCAGGCGGCGAACCCAGCCAGTTGGAGCCGTTCTAAAAATCACGCCGAGAAGGAAACTGAAGGTTCCCCAGGAAGCGCACCTGCCGCGCGGCTCCATTTTGGAGATTTACCGCCAACTAAGCCTTGGCGAACACCTACCACGAGAACGTGGTCGCATGGTCACTTCGGCCGAGAAATCATTTACGAGAAAAAAAAAAATCGACGCCGAAGCGAAAGCGACGCGAGGAACTGTGAATTTCGGCATTCTCCAGGTCGCCAAGGGCAGGTAAAGCAAGCTGCGTGCGGATTCTGACGTTGGCAACGTGCTCGCGGAGCCTCGTCGTGGGTTCTTTACGGTAACCTCACTGTTTCGTCTAACTCCCGGCATCGGGGAACCTCGCGAAAATTCCCCGAGGGGCCACCTACCTCAGCTTGCGTCCGGACATCGTTATCCGTGCTCAGAAGTGTGTTTAAGAGCTGTTGAAACTGGTCTTGGTCTGTCGCCATTGTCGCCGAACGAATAAGATCAGTGCGCACGCTCCGCCGAGTCGTTCGTCATTTGCTGCTGCCAATCCAATAGGCCGAAAATTTCATCGAGGCTAAAGCGTTGCCAACTGACGCGCGCAAACGCGCCCACTGAAATACAAGATTTTTCTTCATGAACCTTTGCGTTCAGAATTTCACTTACAGAAATGCTTTTTGTTAATTAATATCGTTCGATGATTTGCACGGTGGAATTTCTGGGTTGGAATAAGTTTCTGTTTTAACTGGTTTGGGTAAACTCACGGAAGTGGAATCGGATTACGTTGTCAGGTGGCGCTGGTGTTTCGAGTGTCCCGCGCGTTTGGGCAAGATGGTTCGCGCGCTTTTTTTTCCTTTTTTTTCTTTTTTTAATTCCGAATCTCGAATATCCTTTACTAAATTATGGCTGGAGAATTTTGGAAGATATTAGTTTAAGGTTTTTTATTATATAAATGGGGAAGTTTGGTCTTTTGAATGATTTGTCGATTAGTTTAATCGAGCTGTTGGGGGTGCGATGTTGGTGGCGGTAAATTTAAACGTCCTCGACATCGCGGCAAGTTCTTATTTTTTGTTGCATTTATGTAACATTATTTGTTCCGTTTGTAAATAATATAGGATTTTTGTGGATATTTCCATTACTTAGCAAGTTTTTGCAGAAGGGCTGAAAATCTGCATCATCTTTCAATATTATATCCATGGAGGTAACGTCGTATTTACGCAAAGGAAATAATTTTTCCTTTTAAAATTTTTATATTAATATTTACTTATTATAGAATGGGTGGGTTGGTATTACAGAGTGGGTTTTCGAACTCTAATGGCATTATCAAGGTATAAGATCGTTAGCAGTCTGAGAAATGAGCAGTTGGCCGAGTGTTCCGATATTAAGCTATTCCACCAATACTTGGAGGGGAACGTTCTACAATCATTTCTCATCACGAAACAAGCTACATTACGTGACTTTCCGTAAAAGCATTTAGACATGAAAGTAGGCATCGATCGGTACTTACTCTTCAATGTATTGAGAGAGTATAATTGCGTACAAGAAAATGATGAATATTTTCAACTCATTTAGTATGATTTTTTTTTTCAGATTACCAGCACAGGAACATCTATAAAAAAAAAATGTAAAAGTCGGATTTTACACCTGTTTTCTTTCCTATCTGATAATGTACTCAGTAATGACAATCCCATATACATTCTCTGTATTAAAGATTTACTCTTACTACTTTTTCAACGACAAAGTTCCTGTAAAAAAACTCAGTAACAATTTCAGTGACACAGTTAATGACATTACGTGTTATGAGGACGTTTGCTTGTACAATCAAGGAGACATACATGAGCTATGAATTTTAAGTTTCAACTATCCCCTTATCATAAGGCAGCCGTAATTTAATTTGACCTCTTTCGATGTATTTTTGATAAATTTATCGAGAACTGAGTTCAACGGTCGTGCTGCACGAAAGCGATGACCTAGAATGAAAAAATTCGTAACTTAAGAAAGGCATGACAAATTCCTAAATATATACATTGAAATATCGTTAAGTTGCGCCGTGAGTATATTCCATAAAATTAAAAATGAAGAATCAGTAAAATAATATACGTCTTTAATGGTTGTAATACTTTTCTAACGAGTGTGCGCGTTTATGGTATATTGCAGTTGTTAATTGATACGTAATGAATTTTTTAATTTGTTTGAATGAGGCCGTGGCATATGTTGTATGACACTATTTTAAACTGGTGACTAGGTTTGTTTGTAATTACTTTAACCGAGATCAATACTTAAGTAAGGGCTCCAAGTTCGTGTGCACTTCATCAATGTCTACCTTTGTAAAACGATACAGGTCCCCTGCCATCGACCATTCTCAAAGCTATTAGTAAAATCGTTATACAGCCGCAATCACAAGGTACATCGTCGAATGCTTTGAAATAGGCTCGAGTTTGCGCTGTTCCAGTAAATGAGATACAGAGCCTTACTCGTTCGTTCTTTTCCTCGAGCTGGTTGTAGCAACAGCATTACGTCTCGGAACAAGTGTGACGCGAAAATTTAATTTTAAATAACGCGGGAAAGAAATAAAATTCGAAACACCTCGCTCTTCTGTATATTCGAAAAAAAAAAAGTGTCTCCACAACAGCTATATAAGTGAAACTATTTTAAATCGTGACAGTGATTTCTGATTTGTAAAAGAATTCCAATTATTTTTACCGTATGTAAAGGTAAACTTTTAACGAAGGTAAGAATTACAAATGTAAAATTAAGCCATACAATTTAAAAGCAGTTCTAAGTTGTTACATTTTAATTATATGAGTGAAATGTTGATATTGCCATTACTAGAACAACAGATCGAGGTAAATGCTCAAAAAGCATCTTTAACGTCTATACTGAAACTTTGGTGTTAATAAAAGCATAAAAATATGCGTAAAATTCATGCAAGAATATTTACGAAAAAAGCTGTTTCGTATGAATCGAATAAGTACTGAAGTAGACGTAGATGTTTATAAAATTACTTGTATAAATAATTTCTACACTTCCAATTTGTTTCTATGCGAAGCTTCAGTTATGTGGTGTGTAAAAATGTCCCACATTTAAATCTACTTTTTATAGTCACGATAATATTTCTGCTTCGTGTATCCTTCCTTTATAAAGTAAAGGCGATAGCGTCTTCGATATAATTCGACCTTACTGTGAGTCACTGGTCTCAAATTATCGCCAAGGGAAGAAAATTTATTGCACATCGAGCGAGCCGAAATGTCGCAGGCTAAAATAAGTTTCACGAAACGAACGGCGAGTAGGGTCGACAATTTTGTTCGGCTTTGCAAGGATACCTCAGAGATTTACGGTCGTCTGCAATATAATAGAGTCGCGAAAGAGAAATTGCTGTTTTAAAGTAGCATTGTTGGCAACGCAAGAAAGTCCATGGCTGAATCATTCTAAGAAGTTGTACTTTGTATTTTCTATTAGCTCGAGTTGCATTCGCATGTACAACACTCGAGCTTATAAGTATATACTGCGTACATGCTCTCGGAATGTACATATTTCTTTCATAACATCGTAGCAAGCCAAAGAGGAATGTGCTCGAGTTCCTGAATCCGTGAAATATGTCAAAAATTAAATGTCGATAAATAAAGCTATCTCTTCACCTGAAATGAAACGTAAGTGATAAATTAAGACTGCATTCATTCTTTAATCGCGCTATCTTTTTCTTAGATAAAACCGAACGTAGATTTAGATCTATTATATTTAGAATTATGAACCATGATAGGAGGAAAAGTGATTAGAAGTGAGAGATCGCTAATATCGTAATAATTTCATTTAAGAGGAATGAATCCGAGGCTTAAGAAATTTCATTTATCATTTTCAGGACCGCTTTGCCTTTTTGTAAAATGGTTCTTAGGCATCTAAGGAATAGTAGTGAGACATAAGAAATATGGGGAAAAAAGCAGAAGCCAAGGAAAAACTCCTTCTTGCTAAAATACATACAAAATTATGTGTCGACGAGGCGGCTAAGTACATGAAAAATGGACAATACATAACAGCGTTACCGGTATATAGAAAGGTACATGAGTGTACGAAACTTATTAGTTGTTCTGCGTACTTTTAACATAAGTATATTAATACTATCATTTTTCACGTTTGATCTAATGATTTTTCACTTAATAAGAGCCAGTCTCATACATATATTAATATTTTCTTGTTTAGCTATCCCTATATTGGAAATACCTTTCTTACTCATTCAGTTGTTCAGTACACCCACAATGTTGCATTACATGCAATAAAGTGAATACTACTTCCAAAGCAAATTACCAAGGATTAAATGTACATTTAACATTTTTATCTTGCAATACTCACCTGTTGTTATAGAAAATTTGGATAACCACAAAGAGAAACATATAAAATAAGACTACGGCGATTATTATAACTTAAATAATAATTCAGTATGTTTTACCTGATTCATTGGTGTTCTTTCATTGTTAAAATTGCAAATATTGGCATCAGCTGGTAGAATGATACTATAGTACTACACGGTATCACTCGACAAGTATATTCGCGATAAGTGCCGACAAAGTAGCGTTCGTTGTACTTACACCCAACCGACTAAACCGAAACTCAGATTTTCTTAAATTTCCGAGAAGTGTAAACATAAGGAGTCATCGACTCTTTGTCGAAAGAATTTACTAATTAACACAAAGTCCATACCTGAAGAGGTGCGTATGTACTGCCAACGGCGACGAGGCAGGTGACGCATCGTTAGCCGTTACTAAGGTAACGAGTCACCTAGGTGTCGGTATTCACACATTGCAGTGCGTGATCTCTTCCTTATAATTTTAAGGTCTGATTTAACAGTAAATCCGGACAAAAGACTCATTCATTTGAACCGTGCCTTCTACTTCATTCATATAATCCAACAGCTGCAAATTTCTGTCGCGAATCTGCCGCATTCAGGGAAGACTTGCGAACGAGAGTGAATATTTCCTTTCCACGGGTTAAATGAGATCGGAAATTTTCCCAACATCGAGGGAACTTTCTTAATAAGCGACTAAAAAAAAGAAAAAAAATAATCGAGAGGAAAAATTATAATTTATGTGATTCTTCTCGTCCAGTGATTCGGAGCTTCCGACATGACTTTGTCTTGCTCAGGCACCCAAGTAACGTGAATCTTTTGACCCCTAACGAGAATCTTTTTTATCTCCGAAGACGAGGAACGAAGTTTGCAACGCGATTTCAAGGGTACTTTAGTTATAAATAAATTTCGAAAATAAATAAGAAAATGTCTAACGAGAGGGAATTGGAAGAGTCACTGAAGAGTGGCGGCGAAATTGCGAGCACGGCCTTGGTAGCAGTCCAGGCTTCGGAAATCCTGAAAGCAACTTTGCATGATCATGATTTCCTGCAGAGTTTCGTGAGAATTGGTCTCGATGATGATTCTGAAGAGAAATTGGCAAATTCGGAAACCGAGCCTGCAGCTGCTTGCAGCGGGGTCTCGGTTGGTTTTGAGATTACTAAGATAGAAGGATCATCTGACAAACCCAAGGAAACGACTGTCAAGTCTGATAGGAGTCAGGTTGCGACGAAGAAAAAGAATAAACGCTGTTCGAAGGTTTTAAAGATGTCCTTAGATGCCGAGATGAAGGATGGGAAATCGAAAAAGAAGCGCAGACGAAGAGGTCGCCATCAGGAGGAAATCTACACGGACAAGGATCGAGCTGCAGCTGTTAATATGGGAACGCACGACATAAAACAATCTTTAAAGATAAAAAGACGTCAGGATAGGAGCAGAGCTCTTTGCATTCCCGAAGAAGCCGAACCAGGCACCTTGCTTGCCCTGGGAGCTCGAGAAATGAGGTCCGGAGATATCAACACGGCCATCGATTGCATCAACAAGGTTGATCGATGGCTGATATTCACGATATGTCCGGAATATTTTTAGCATCGACTAAGCAACGGTCGATATTTGCAGAACGGAATCTGTCGTTTTCTTTCATTTGTTAGGTTTCTAGGAAATAAAAAGTGAAAATAAGTAATACTCCACTCCTGGCCAATTTTTTCAATTAATTCAATTTTTGAACGGATATGTTTTGTAGACGCGAAGGTTGCGGTCCTCATAGCTTAAGGAAAACATTCCCATTTCGCGTACTCTACCGTTCACTTAACGGCATTAATTGATTTTTTTTTCGCGAGAATTATTATAACAATTATGCGAACAAGATGTATATCCATCAATTTGTAATATGTTCTTTTAAAAAGGCCCATCCTTATTGTATGAAACATTTTTACAAGGCGCTGCATCTTAGTCCTGGGGACAAAAACGCACTTCTCGCCAGGAGCAAGTGTTACTTATTACTGGGAGATCCTCAGAAGGCGTTAGACGACGCCGAGGCAGCGCTCAGAGGAAAGTCAAAGGACGTTATCGCCGCTCGAGCAATGTTCTACAAAGCTGAGGCACTGTACCATCTCGGAGATTTTGAGCTCAGCCTCGTATTTTACTACAGAGGGATGCGAATTCGTCCAGAATTTGATCAGTTCCGGCTTGGGGTGCAGAAAGCGAAAGAAGCGATACAGAACATACTCGGTGGTGAGTTAAATATTTATTTCCATTTAATAATTCAATTCGTTGATCGACATCGATTGCATTCGTATAAATCATTTTTCCATTGAATTATTCAACTCGTTGAAGGATATTGGTTGGATTTTGTATAAATAGACGCAGAACCGATTCCAATAGCCGGTTTCGAGGACCCCGGTTTGCCGGCGCAGTCGGAGGGCCCAGAAAAGCCGGAGATTTCAACGCCGGAAACACCTGCAACAGAAGAGTCGAAATCTCCCCCGAAGGATCGGAAAGAGAGAGAAATTTCTACGAATGGACTACCTGCGGATGGGACACCACAGTCGACCGGTAAACGCAAAAGCACCGAACCCAATCTTCTCGGGCAACTCAACGTCGACAAAAGATACCTGCAAAACCTTCTAAAGCGACCAGGTCAGCCAGAGAAAGTAAGGCGACTTTCCATAAATTAAGAGCCCATTTTAAAAATTTTTGATTTTTAGTTTCCCACCGTTTTCGTTATGGTAAACCCATGTTTTCAAAAGCGTTCGACATATCGAAATATTTAAAATGAGGTACTTTGAGCGAGAAGATCTAGATCACGGAATAAAAGACAGTGCCCAATACCGAGGGCAATCTACATATCCTAGCGGAAGGATAACCGTGTTCCGAATGACGGATAACGCAGATATAAGAAGGTTATTTTTGCGATCAGAGAGGTAAACCCCTACAGAAATGTCTCACAGATGGTGCGGAAATAAGGAATACCGATCTGGCTACATCCACGCGGTATCGGGACCAGTAGTGGTCGCAAAAGACATGACGGGATGTGCGATGTATGAGCTGGTGCGGATAGGACATCAGAAATTGGTGGGCGAGGTGATTAGATTAGAAGGCGACCTGGCCACGGTACAAGTCTACGAAGACACCAGCGGATTGGCCGTAGGTGATCCAGTCCAACGAACAGGAAGTCCCCTATCCGTGGAGCTGGGTCCAGGGATTTTGGGCAACATATTCGATGGGATCCAACGACCCCTGCGAGACATCGGGCTGCAGACTGGCTCGATTTACATCCCAAAAGGCGCAAATGTCCCAGCAGTGTCCAGATCCCAACTCTGGGAGTTCGTGCCCTGCAAAATCCGGAAAGGGACTCCGGTGACCAGCGGCGACGTCATAGGTGAGGTCTACGAGAACACCCTGATGAAGCACAAGATCATGGTGGCACCAGGGAGATGTGGGAAGGTCTTGTATCTGGCCCCTGCTGGAGAGTACACGGTGGACGAGGTGATCCTGGAGACTGAATTTGACGATGAAAAATCGGCGCATGGGATGCTTCAGGTTTGGCCAGTCAGGAGAGCTCGTCCAGTTTCAGAAAAATTGCCTGCCAACCATCCTCTGCTCACTGGGCAGAGGGTTTTGGACGGGCTCTTCCCCTGCGTCCAGGGAGGCACCACGGCCATCCCTGGGTCCTTTGGCTGTGGGAAGACCGTCATCTCGCAGAACCTCTCCAAGTACTCCAATTCGGACGTGATCGTCTACGTAGGATGCGGCGAACGGGGCAACGAGATGTCCGAGGTTCTTCGGGATTTTCCCGAGCTCTCGGTAGAAATCGAGGGTTCCACGGAGTCCATCATGAAGAGGACCGCCCTGGTGGCGAACGCATCCAACATGCCGGTCGCGGCCAGGGAAGCCTCGATTTACACTGGAATCACGATCTCCGAGTACTTCCGTGACATGGGGTACAATGTTTCCATGATGGCGGATTCCACGTCCAGGTGGGCGGAAGCTCTGAGAGAGATTTCCGGGAGGCTGGGAGAGATGCCAGCTGATTCTGGGTACCCGGCGTATCTCGGAGCTCGACTTGCCAGCTTCTACGAGAGGGCTGGAAGGGTTCTGTGTTTGGGGTGTCCAGAAAGGGAGGGATCTGTCAGCATCGTTGGAGCCGTTTCTCCGCCTGGAGGAGACATTTCGGATCCTGTGACCAGCGCGACTCTTGGTATCGTTCAGGTGTTCTGGGGTCTGGATAAGAAGCTGGCTCAGAGGAAGCACTTTCCTGCCGTCAACTGGCTCATCTCCTACAGCAGGTGCCTACAGAGATATTAGATTTGCAATGGGCGTTTGAAAAGTCTCTGAAAATGTCACATTTCTACCATTAGGTACCTGAAGTCGCTGGATGGCTTCTACGAGGAAAATTTTCCGGGGTTCACGTCGTTACGTGCCAAAGTAAAGGAACTTCTGCAGGAAGAGGAACAGCTCAATGAAGTCGTGCAGCTCGTTGGAAGAGCGTCCCTCTCGGAGGTTGACAAAGTCATTTTAGAAGTGGTTAAGCTCGTCAAAGACGAGTTCCTTCGACAAAACAGTTATTCGCCGTACGACAGATTCTGTCCATTCTATAAGACAGTGGGCATGCTAAGGAATATTGTGAGCTTTTACGAGCTAGCTAGACAAGCCGTAGAAAGTACGGCGTTACATGAAAATAAAATCACCTGGAACACCATTCTGGAAGCTTTGGGGCCCATCCTCCATCGACTTAGCTTAATGAAGTTCATGGATCCTATCTCTGATGGGGAGAGCAAGATTAATGAAGAGTATGAGAAGCTCTACGAAGACATGCAGCGAGCTTTTAAGAATCTGGAAGATTGACCAACATCCTGTGGTGATTTCGAGTTTATGGAGAAGCCTTAGGGAACTGCAAATTCACTCTTTGGAATTATCACCCTGGTGATAGTTGAACTTTTTCATAAGTTTTATAAGTTTTCTAGTGGACTGAAATGGAATAATATATATTTACAATAAGGAACCAGCTGGTGATCATTGAGTTCCCATTTTACCTAATACTCTAAAATAGCTTTGACCGCGATATGTGGTGCAGATAATTATTCGTGACTAACTATTTTGTAATTATTTCAGTACGAAGTTAATCTTTTCTGTCCTGATGTAACGCTGTTGTTTTCAGATGTTAAAGCTGCCCATCAAGAGTCAGCAGATCATATTACGGTTCATGCCGAAGAAGGAATAGCATTTTTGAAAGCTCGTCAAGAATTCTGGCGACAGCAACACGCGACGAATCAACCTGCCTCGTAAATAGTGAATTATTATATATATAACAGTCCCCGTGAACACTAAAATCAAATTCAATCCATTTAAAATATTAACTGAACGGTATATAGTTATCCAATAAATATTTTACAGATTACATGGAATATTGATATGCTCGTACGTTAAAATAATTCCTAAAATGTATTGGTAATATTTTCCGCAACATGTTTAAGTGGATTTCAATTTACATTGAGCCAGATGACAAATTCCGCAAGAATTCATTTATTATTAAAGTCTCCACCGTTGGTATTTATTATATTCGGTATTGAATAAATTCGGCTTTGAATGTGTTTCCACCACATAGTCCGGAATTAAATCCAGGTGGTGGAGACGTACTCAAAGCTGGATTTATCCAATCTGGTATTGAATAAATATATAATCTTCAAATCCATTTTCAATACCCAATGAGATTTAATGCCATCTTCTGATTGGTAGATCTAGTTTCAGAATCAAATTAGTACCAGAGATGAGTTGGGAGATTGCTTACGGGCAGGATCGTGCGATCGAATACTGTGCTGCCCTCTGGTTTCGTACGTTAGCTTTCACCGTTTTTTGCCCCCAAAGGCGGCGCAACGAATTTCTGATAGGAGCTCGCGCACTTGCGATGGCGGTACCATCTACCAGTCGCCNTAGATGGTACCGCCATTGCGAGTGCGCGAGCTCCTATCAGAAATTCGTTGCGCCGCCCTTGCGGACAAAAAACGGTGAAAGCTGACGTTCGAAATCGGAGGGCAGCACAGGATGCGATCGCACGATCCTGCCCGTGAGCAATCTCCCAACTCATCTCTGTTAGTACTCACCTTAGAATGCGGAATTGCCAATATCATTGAAATAGTTCCCAAAAATAGCGCTACTGTCTATGTTACTTTAATTATCTATGATCAGGTAGCTACATAGATCTACGTAAATGAACAAAAATGGAACCTACTGTACAGTGCTGCTACTACGCGAAAGACTGTCGAACTATTATCCGCAGTAGAACCATAGTTATACTCAGTCGGTAAACAAAATTCTTATTATAAGTAGTACGCTTTTTTTATAAAAAAAAAAACATTCAGTGACGGTATTACAAATTAGTCTACTAAACGAAATTACTCGACTCCGATATTAAGTTGCAGATAATAATCAAGTATTCCATTTTTACAAATATATAAATATGCAAACACTATGATTGACGGAGTATGCAGGTAATTAAACAGGATCGTTGATAGAAAAAAATATTATAATTACGAGACAGATACCGAACGGGAAAGAGTACAACCCGGAAAGGAAAGGCGTAAACGGTAACTGATAAGACAAGACAGGTAATGGTGTATAACCGCATAGGTAAGTAAACCTGAAGGCGTCAATCCACTTAATTTTAATTTATTTACATGTTAAACTAGATCGCACGAGCAGTACAAATGCTAATGGAAAGACTACATAAGAGTATCGTAGGAGGGCCTCTGCAATTAGAGAGCGTGACCAGAGAGGTTCCGGACCGGAGATAATGTTCTCATCACAAATGTTCTCCACTTCGTCCACTAAGCTGGCAAGCTTTGCTCCCAGTCCGGCCATCATCGTGCTTAAACCTTTAGGGCCTAAAACGCTTTAAAGCCTTCTTCCTATTTCTTGAATCCCTGCTTACGAAGAGCCTTTAGATCCACGTCGCCGTAGTAGTCCTCGCTGAGAAATGTATTTTAGCAGTTTATTCATTTGCTCCGCAATCGCGGCCGCTAGGTGACACGAATGCTGGCGAGGGTCACGGAAATCGAATTCATGCCATTGTTTCGGTAAATCATTAACTGGACTTCCTATTAATATGATAACTGGCTTCTATTTAGCTCGCGTAGGGAAGAAAAGACAAAAATTCACGGTTGCGGTAGATTGATATTAGACGAGGAAACATGTAGACTGGGAGACATCAATGCCCTCCCATCCTGCACAGACGATGCCGTATCTGCAGGGGAGGCATTCATGTCCGCCACTGTATACTGGCGAAACATTCTCTCCTTCGTGTAAATCGATCCTCTTGGTAGAAGGTACTGTTTCAATGTTTCTTACAGTAGAGGAAAATTCACTTGCAGCACGAACATCACGGTTCGGTGGGGAATCATTAAATGTACAAACTCCATCTGGCTTCAATTAATTATATCGTTTCTAATGCCAGGAGGATCGAGAAAAAATATTATACTGAGCTGCAGAGCGATAGATTGAAAACTTCGCCCAATGCTTGTAAGTGTTTAGTTTTTGCAAAATCTTTTGCAACGACTCTCTGTCGAATCTTTTCCACTATTTAGACCAAGGCTAGAATTGCTTGTTCCTTCATTTGGGGAGATTATTTTGATTATACAGAGAAATATGTACAATGTCTTTCCCCGTGCAGCGAATTCGTTGAAATTCCGGAGCACCAGAATTAAAGAAAAAATATTTAAAATCGTGCGACGAGCCTCGATGTTAGATTTATTATTAATCGTTAAAGATTCCGGACGAGGGAGCAGTGAGTGCGTTAGATCACGACGTCTTAGACATGCAGAGAACATAGAAGAGACGGGAAGAACAAAAAACCAGACATCGGCAGACGACAAAAATGGGAACGCGGGGCAGAGCGAGCGCAAGGACACAAACGAGACTTCGAGGAGTTTTGTACACTTTTTATTTAGTGGCTTTTTTCTTATTTTAAAGATGGATTTTGCAGGGCGAGACTTTCGGGAGGAATCAGGAGATTTTCGAGTCGAGGCCAAGAGCGTACCCCGCACGTCGGATCGGCCATGCTCGAACTTTTTTCACGGTATTACACGTTTTTCACATTCTGTGCACGTATGGATCCGGATTGTGCGAAGACTCGAGTCCTCCGTGTTTTGGCATCGGTTCACCGTGCTTGAATCACATATATAGCCCCGAATGGCCAAGTGCCACGTGGCAAGAATCCTCAAGGTAAGATCAAGTTAAGTCCGCCATTTTGGTCCCGTTTGAACGCAGAGAGAAGCTTCCAAACAATTGAGAAATAATTCGTTTCTTATCATTTTCGACCAATTTATGCCGGTAACCAGGAATATCAAATTAACTGAACAGTGTTAATTTAACATAACCTAGTATTCGCGAACAGTAGTCACATTGGTTCACCAAGATATTACCAGAATGCCAAATTGATTAGAATTGAATCTCTTCGCAATAAGCCGGCCATTTAATAAAAATCTCAGGGTTCCATTCATATCATGCCCCTCGGCATTTTACCCTAATCGTCGGTACTTTTGGCACGAGAAGCCGAGGTCACCAATAGAAGAAGACCGATAATCCCGAGTGCATCGGCAATAAATCCAATACAAAGTCGAGCAATTGCCACTCATAAGTACCCCACGAATTTCAAGTACTTCATCCGGAGCTCAACAGGTCAGCTCACCCCGAAGTCGACCTCCAAGGGTCACCAGGAACTTCAGAAAGCTCCGGGCAAAGTAGGCATCAAAAGCTTAGTACCCGACTATACAGAATGACGTGACAATTGCTGGCGAAATAGGTTCGTATTAAATTTACCGCGGGCGCGAAAATCGCAACGTTCACGTGCAAGTTCCTTTAGAAATCGCACACTCGTGCCACATTTTCGTTCGGTACTCTTGGCACTCGCCACGGGCAGCCAGGGTTACCAAGACGGAGTAGGAGGGTCAGACAAATGTTAGTTCCAGAGGCTTTGGCATTAAATTCAATACAACGTACTCCAAGCAACTTGGCACCCTAGACTTTCATTAACTGTGTTCGGAAATATCCCCACCAGTTGGGTGGCCAGCGAAAAGGACCTCGAGAGGACCTGAAGAGGACCTCAAGAGGACCTCCGGGGGCCACTAGGAACTTCACGAAGCTCCGAGCAAAGCAATCGAAACCCAACGTCGGACTATGAAAGTGGCGACGAATGTATTAAATTTAATGCACAGGCCCTTTGGTGGATTTCCCTCCGGGCGGGCCGACCATTTCAGGGTCCCCCCGGGTCGCTCTCATGCTCTCTCTTGGTGCATCCTGTCGGTACTCTTGGCACTCGCCACGGGAAGCCGGGATCGCCGGGATCACCGCGATGGAGGATGGATGGAGGGATGTGGAAAAGAGTTAGTCTTGAATGGGTGCGGAGGGCCTCGCGGGTATGGGTGCAGTGGGCCTGGGTTTGCCCTGGGACGGCCTAGCGGTGTTCCTCGGCTCTCCCGAGCTCTGGATTCCGGCTAGCAGCTCGCTCTTCCGGATGCTCTTCAGGTCCAGGTCACCGTAGTAATCCTCACTGTGAAGCAGAACCGACAAAACCGGGGAATCAGGGCATGCGTGCGGCCGGCCGAAGAGCGAGGTGTCACGCGGAAAAAGAAGACGTGCACTCTTAGAAAAGGACAGCCGATGGTTTCGCTCCTCCTGATATTTGCATCAATAGCAAAAATCGAGCGCAAATGCACAAGAGCGCTTTCTTTTAGAAAAAATGCTAAATTGGCAAATATTTGTAGCAACGGCGAAAAAAAAAAAGAAATGCCGTTGTTCCCATTTAATCAAATGAGCGATGCTCGTTTAATAAATTGATGTCGATGGTAATGAATATTGCAATAATGAATGTAGGGTGTGAAATGGTGGTTTGAATGTTGTCTGTATAAGATAATCGTTTCTATGATAATAGTTTGCTGTCCCATTTTCAATATTTTACGTTTGCTGAAGCAAGAGACATTTTTTATCGCGATTGTGAATTATTTTTCTGCGTGCACCTCTCTCGCGTGCTCAAGCTCAAGTCCGCCATTTTTCTTACGTGCATTGTATCGTGCAATGTCCAGTAATAACGCGAATTTCGGACTCGCCCAAACGGTAGTTAAAAATATCGAGAAATATCGCAAAAGGAAGGTAAAGTTAGTTCTCGGCTGTTCCTCTCGGCCTCGCTGATTTTCCTCCCTTCTTCGGGGACTGGCTTTCAATTATACACAATCGCTGGTGATTGTTACGGATTATTAGTTACTTCAAAGCAGAGAGACATGCGATCCATGATTGCGAGCAGAGAGTGAGATAGAAAGAGACTTCTTTGCGCAGTTTTTGGGGCTTGGTTTTTCACTTTCTCAGGGGCAACTGGTTTTTTGGTAAATTTTTCATTGGTGGATTTAATGCTGCGTGTTGGGAGCAATTGTTAACGCAATTACGTGGTCAGCTTCGAGACGTACGTTTGAGCAACAATTGCTCCCGACGTAATAAGTTAATTATAGAAACGTTTAATCGCGCTAAAGCTCATGTGTTTTATCCGAGAATTTAAGAGGTATGGCGATTAATTCAGGACAAGTAGGAAAAAAAAAACTTGAGAATGGATTTTACAGGAAGGAAAATTAGGTGGAAAGTTTATGATTTCACACCTAACTGCGCACCCTGGAATTGCAGTACAAGGTATGCTTTTGTATGGTACTTAACCGCAAGTGCGATAATGTATGGAAATCCTTGCTAAACTAGCGATTATTACGAGGAAAATACCATGTACCCTGACAAGAACGACTGTCTACGATCACAATAATTACTGCCAAATTGGAGCAATAATCGCAACAACACCATAATCGCTACACCAGGGCAACAATCGCCGCAACACTTGCTATCACTTTTACGACCTATGAATGCGGATTAGCTACTTTTCTGCGTGCTGAAAATGCAGGAAGTGATGGTAATTTATATCTTCTTTAATATTCACAATGGTAAGAGAAAGTAATCAAGCCATTTTGGTCTCAGGATCTCTCGGATGCTGGGACATTTTATGTTTGATTTTTCTCTTCTGAACTTTGATCATGATGATTTCGATTTCAATGATATGGATATTTAGCCAATTTCGTGGGATGGAAATGAAGGACTCGGGGATTATGAGTGCTATGATAAGAAGGCGGATCAGATGATGACGATTCCGATTACATTAATGTGGATGTTTTGCCAATCTCATGGGACGGAAATGAAGGATTTGGCAATTCTTAATGTAATGATGAAGACGACACGAAAGATCGCGGTGATTTCGATTATAATGACGCCGATATTTAGCCAATTTGAAGGGATAAGAATGAAGGATTCGGGGATGCTCGGATAAAACGGCGGATAAGATCAGAGCGTGGAAAGCGACACTCACCATCCGGGAACATCTTCAGGGTCTTCGCAGGCGCCGCTTCCGTCGGAATCTCCGATCTTGAAGACGGTCCCAATGGGACATCCGTATTCTCTGGCGATGCCCTCCAAGCAGATGTAGTACTTCCTGCAGTCATCGGGATGAGCATGCCTGGAGAAGCTCCCGGAAGCTCCGCTCACCTCGCCGGCAGCAGGGCAGGTGAAACCTCCTGCTACTTCTGAAAATTTCATCACATCCATTTTCAGAGACACTTTCAAGATAAGAAACCGAAGACGCAGCAAAAATCTTGCCCAATCGACATAAACTAAAACGAACATTACAGAATCCAAGCCTGAACTTAAAATCCAAGCCTTATTAACCCAGTCCTTGGAATGTCCCCCCATAGTCCCACCTCCTCCTTGAAATTCCTAAAAAAGCATAACGACCAATTCTAATTTCCACATCCCTTTTCAGACAATCCAGTCAACCCAAACCCTTCACGACGAAGGAATTACCCGCTCACGATCAGCGGCCAGATCGGCACGAAAACGCCCATTTCCAGGACGACTCCAGTTAACGGCGTGCGAGTCGTTATCAGGTGATAACCTGGACAGCCCGGTTCCCAGCGAGTGGAGGAAAATGTCCTCTCTTCGTTTGCATTCCAGGAAGCGAGTAATAACATTTTTACTTAGACGATCTAGTTCGCGAAGAGAAAGAGGGAAGCAGAATTCATTCCCGGTCGGGGCGTTCTCCAGATTTGGTTCCTGGTCGCGTGGCCGACTCAGGACCCGGTACCGTGCCCATTCAACTGCGGATTATCCGGGGACCGGTGTTACGAGGTTGGTACCCACCTTCGTTCCTGCACTCAGGAACCTGATCGGCCCACATGCAGACTCGGGCATCTCTGTCGTAGGCCAACCCAGGACTGCACTGGTACCTGGAGGTCTCTCCGTTCCAGCAGTTCCAGAAGACGTCGCACTTTTTCTCGTCGGGGAAGATCCCGTAAAGTCGGGTGCAATGGGGCGTGCTGATGGGGGGCTCCAGCTGCGTCCTTTCGCCGCAGTCGACGTTGTGAAGGTAGTCGCAGTTCTCGGTGAGGAACTTGCTATCAGAGGCGTCGAACGCGAGCCCGTTGCCGCACGTCTTCAGCTCGGCCACGTTGTTATCGCATTTCCAGTACTTGTCGCAGGAGATGTGATGGGGATAGAACCCGAAGTCGTCGGGGCACTTGAAGTTCTCCTGGGCGGTCGCACCTAGAAACCGGGATAGATAGAATTAATTAATCGCAGAAAATCATGAGACATTAAGGAGATGTGAAAGCGGCATCTAAGAGGTCAATATGGAGGAGTTTATGGAACTTTCATCCGAACCAGATGTATCGAGTCGTTTGAAATTTCACCACGTGAATGTCGAGGCTCCAATGAAAGTCTTGACCCCCATGAAGTTCCATTTTTATAAAGAATTAAAAAAAGAAATTTCTTTCAAAACATTAAGATAAGTGAAAGTTTTATGAGCGTCAGGACCTTCCTTAGCGCCTCCACAATTAAGAGGTAAAATTTCAAACGATTTGGTAGATCCAGTCCCGGGAAAAGTTTCATATACGAGATCCACGGGATGTTTCTTTCGCATCACCTTAATATGGACAGCTTTCTATTTCTGGGTTTTAAAGTAGAAATTAAATCTATTCATCAGCATTGTAGGTACTAAAGAGCAGTTAATGAAGTAGAAAGAATTTCAACGAATGATCGTAATCGGGTGATTTTTTTCATATTTTCAGGAAAGGGAGAAAGAGAAAGAGCCTGGATATTGTAAATAGACACGATGGCGCGGAGATACGGCATGCGTTAATTAAATGCTTCGTCCGAGAAGATGGTTAATTGGAGGCATCCATTATCATGATAGTATTCTTCATTAATTGAAAGACACGCTTCGTATGTAAAAAGTAGAAGTTGAAGTATATATGTGACTTCAAACGGAACCGAACTATCCACTTTCGCTTAAAACTCGAATATTTGGTGATTCAGATGGCCCCGAGCCTCGGGAAAAGTAAAAGTGCTCCCGAAGCCGGTTCCAATTCGCCGGCAGTTACGAATCTGACGAGTAAAATATGCGCAGTGGATTGTGTTCCCTGGATTAATTTCGGACAGACTAGTTCTTTGGGCAACTGGAAAGCCGAATTAATGTTCCACGATCCGGCGAGTACCATTTTACGTCGCATTCCAGCTCCACGTTTCCCTCTACGCGACCGAAAGCCATAATCCTTTTCAGATTCCGATCCGTTCTCATAACGTATACATGCACACACAAGAGAAAGTAAATCGCCCTTGTTCGGAGTAAACTTCGCCGTTCTCGAGTGTTCCACGAGGCGAGAAGTCGAGGCGCAAGACAGCTACCGTTACGAGAAAATAAAAAGGAAAGAAAATCTCACCGAGCGAAATGAAGCGACCGATGAAAGTGCGATCATCGGTACAACGCCTCTCAAGGAAACCCATCCCGATCCGGATCAACTCCAGACACGGACTAGCCAAGAAAATCCGAGCTCTATTTCAGAGAAACCGGAGGCAAGAAGCGGAATGCCGAAATGAAGCGAAAGAAATCTTAACGGTGCCAGGAAGTAACGAAGGAGAACTTACTTCGATGAAAACGTGAGCTCGAGGGAAAACGTACCGCACCCTCGTCGGAAAGAAGAAGGCCAGTAAATGCAGTAAATTTAGGGAATAGGCAATAGGAATTGATAAACAAGACTTCCTGCGCCCAGAAATAGTCGCAGGAGTAGAAGCAAGAACTAGGTCCATCGGGCGCCGCCATCTTGGTGGGCAAAATCGACTACTTTGTCGCGGCGATATCGTCGACCCTAGCCATTTCTAAACTCCTGATAATAGCCGCAGTCGTCTCAACCACCGTGGCATATGATTTCCGAATAGCTAAACGACGTTGCGTAAGTGTACAAAGACTTTCGCCAGACACTTTCACTCAGGGCCCGGAGGCAGGCCCAGGCGGGCCCGGCAGCTCGCGGCCCGACCCAGCATCCGTTCACTCGGTGCCTGGACACGTATGCCCACGACATACGCGAACGAAGAAATACCCTCTGGGCCAACGGACCATCGAGACCCGACCAAACCGGCGGACAGAAATGCAGGTCGATCCAAGAGAGCATTTCGGGAGGCTCTTTGGGTCCCCGGGCCCAGAACCGGGTCGAAGTTGGACTCGGTCGAGCTGTGCTCGAGTTTTCCCAGGCGCAGTCCCCTTGAACCTCGCAAGAGGCCCGTCGACTCGGCTTGAGAGCGCCAACACGGTCGAGGGAAGGCCGATCAGTGGGCCAAGGTTATCGGGTCTTAGAGAGCCCGGGGCAAGCGGAACCGAAGGGCTTCCAGGCGGTCCGGAAGCGGAGGTTCGGGGCGAAACGGGAGGAAGCTCCTCGGTAGGGCAGTCCACGCGCAGATCGGGTAGGAACGTCGAGAGATCACACACTTCCACTGGGTCGCACTTTGGGTCGGTCTTGGAGAGGCTTCCGAGGGCCTCCTCCTGCTCGACGCGTCATTTCCTCCGCAGGTCCGAAATTTGGGCTACGTACCGGCGAGCAGGATGCTGGCTATCACGAAGTACGTCCTCATGGTGTACGCGGGTCTTCTCTGTTTCTCGACTGGCCTCGGCGTGCGCGGCGGTTTCTTTAGCTCCTGGTCCCTCCTCCTTCCGCGTTGCGGCTCGGTCGGGTTAAAGTTACGAGAAGAAAAAGTGTACTTGGCACTAGCCCCCTGCAAGGAGAACTCTGTATTGCCGCCCTGCGGGCCCGCACCTTTATATAAGTCATTGGTCACGTGTCGTTCCCCCCTCCTCGAGCCGGTGCTCAAGAAGAGGTACACCTCTCTATATCTCTCGGAAACGATGGAAGAGGGGCTCTCGCCGTGAAAATGCCACCCGAAAGCCCAGGCGAATCCTCGCCCGGGATCGGCGGACGACGAAATTCTTCGACTTTTTCCCTTTTGGCCGCCTAGTTGGGGCCCGGTTCCAGTCGAGAACGAGTTCTTCGACGAACGGAGACGCGGCCGAGCCTTCTCCGAGGTTTCGCCTTTCGGTTTCGCGGGACTCCTTTCTTTTGCTCTTGCCTCGCTTTGACGTATCCTTCGGCCCGATTCCGAGGACGGAAGATTCTCTTTCGTTGGGTTATTAATACCCCCGCGTGGCGGATGCAAGAAAGGAGAGACCTAGTTCTCGGATCGCGTCCTTTGATACACGTTAACTTTTAATATGGTGTATGAACTCCGCGAACGTGTGGATAACCAGGTTGCGTATATATTAAATGCATTATAGCGGACATATCGGATGTACGGATCCAACGTGACTTCGAAGTGGGTACATCGCTGGTGTAGTCTCTATTTCATCAAGTAAATACTACGATTTCAGGGCTATAAATCGTTCCTGCTAATATCTATAGCTGATGCGGTTCGCTAGGCAACACGGAGTCGCTTCGAAGGATTCGAGAACGTTTGCCCTGTACATACCGCAGATTGCTGGGGGATAAGACTCGATAAAGGGAGAGATATTGGACGGTATATTACCGAGGACATTTCTTGGGGGTTATTACCTTTCGTTCTAACTTCGCTATAAATAGTTCCTAGCAGTTTAAGCAACAAAAGTGCTGATTTTTGTCGACGATGAGGTGGTGCCTCGGCGCACAAAGCATCGAACGGGACAGAAGTAGTCGAAGGTCGTCTCTGGGAGTAAGTGCTAGTGAGTCAGCAACCGTCGAGGTGCGACTATAGGTACCTTGGCACGAACGAAAATCCCATAAATTCAATGAACGATCCTCATGAATACCCATGAACCACCTACGATCCCGAGATAAAACACAAATGCCGTGCATAAGTGCATTTCAGCGGGTCGGGTTTGATACTCTCAAGTACCGACGCCTTGGCTGCGGATTTTTCCTTCCCTTCGCAACTGATCGCGTTCTGGTACTCGAGTACTCTGTTGCGAGTTATGCGCCTCCGGGTGGTTCTAGTCACGAAAGACCAAGGACGTCGGAAACCGGACGCTTTCAGCGACAAACGGAACTTTCTCGCCTCACATAATTCCTGTTTGTTGAATAATTCCAACCGAGCCCGTAAACATGCACTCGCGGAAGCGAGCTAGCTTGGAACGCAACGCCGGCGCCACGAACGAGCATGCCGTAGTCAGGCCCGTGAATTCAAGAAACACATGAAATTCTTCCAACATTTTCATTCTCTTTTCTGTTTTCGCTTCTTGAAGTTGGGTCATCTTCTATTCACGTCGGCCCACGTGGGCGTAGCGATAAAACCGGACATTTCTTCACAACGCAGTTTTTATTTTAGGTCAACCGAACGTCCTCGGTGGAAAAGTGGTCAGTACATCTGGGTGTCTGTTATAAGATGAAAGTCAATTAAATCTTTTTTAGACAAAGATTTAATTGAAACTGATCACAAACTTAATGCAGCAGTCAATACGCTTGTTTCTCTGAGTTTGGAAACTCTTTCTTCGGCAATGATCCTAACAGGGAAGTCTTCCATTCACGTCGGACACGTAAGAGTCGCGAGAGAAGACAAAATTGGTATGCTTGACAAAGTCGCCGGTTGATTCGCAACGGAGATCATTGTCACGAAACCGCTGTCACCGACATCTATCCCCTGTTTGACATTCTTGATTTTAAAAATCGGTGTAGCTTTCCTTTTAAGTTTAAAAGAAAGTGTATCTTCGGTAGTATAATGGTCAGTATCGGTCCTACCTTTGACGACCTAGACGATGTTAACATAATAAATTCAGTATAAAATAACGCTTCTTCTTGTGCATTGATTCGAAGCGGAGGTTTTCATTAATGTCGGACTCACGTAGTAGTTTTGCCGGAGGACCAATTTGGTGAGGTGGACGAAGTCGCGAATTGGTTCGTAATAAGGATCGACATGACACAGGTGCAGGCCCGTTTGAGGAGGAAGAGGAGAAGAAGGAAATACAGAGCCGGATGGCAGAAGAATTAACGTCTTCCGGATAACGGTATGACTGCATCGTCGAGTCTGCCCCAGTGGGGCGATACGTGCGCGCCACATCAAGGATAATACGCACGATGCAAGCATACCTTATAAATTATTATATCAAGGGGATTAAGGAGCTTATACTAAGTCAAGAGCAGGGCGAAACGGCAATTAAAACTGTTTAACTAAAACCCCTATTGCACGTGCATAATGTTAAAAGTAACACTTGCAACGCAAGGGGATTAAAGTAAATTATTCTTGTTAGAGTCTACATTAAGGAGTTTAGAATCACATCCAAACATTTATCTTCTCTTCCTCCATCTCCTTAATGGCACATGTTCCGAATCAATCTATAAAAATATGTTAATTACCTTTAACCTTACCGCGATTGAGAAGGACGAGTCGGTATCTTTCACTAACAATTAACCCTACCTTGGATGCATTCGTAAGGTTCCAGAAGACATTTCCTCGGCGTTTATTACCACGTTACCGCCTTAAGACCGGATTCCCACTGCCAAAGTATCATTTCCATTTTTTCACGTAAGCAGTTAACCTCCCTCGTAAACATTCCATCTACATACCCACCTAATTACCATTCCCAATACTCAGACCGCATTCCCGATCCTCTCGAAGTCGAATCCTATCTCCAAGACCCTATTTCTCCCGATTTCTTCCAGCGTCAGCGCATCCGTCGACCACCTCGCGAAAGTAAACGTCCCCCTGTCGGGCTGCCAACTCGATAGCCGTTTCTCGATCTAACGCATAATCGAGGGGCCGAAGTTGGGTCCGTCCATAAGCGGCGTCCGCTCATCGTTCCTGCTATGTATTACAGGTGGCACCGGTCCTCGCTGAGGTAACGTCGGCGACCGATTGCATAACCTCCTTGACGGGTCCCCGTCGACTCGGCGAGGCTCGACGGCATTTCCTGCGAGCATAAAATAGAAAAAGGATGATCTCACGCGGCAGGACGAAATGGCGGAATCTAAGCCAGGCGACAGGAAAGGACTCGGCGAGGAGTACCGTGGAATGAGCCTTCGAGAAGCGTCGACCGAGCCGAGGCCGTCGCGCGGGATGAACCGAAGATGGCTCCTAGCCGAGTGAAAGTGAAGCGAGCGATTGGCCTACGGCAGCATCCGAAGAGCACGGCGGAGGTGTAGTCCTCCTTCGGACGAGGTTGTTGACACCTCATCGGACGTTTCGTTGCGCGCCGCTTGCGGCCGGCGCAGCCCTGTCGGCGAGACTCCCGCGTCTGCGTACGTGTGTCTGCGCCTCTGCATGACAACGAGACTAGTCGCCGCGTGAAGCGACGCCGTGCGCGCCATAGACTCACCGCGACTAGAGACGCGCAGCCGGCTATCGGCGCCTGCGTGGTTGGGCGCTATCCGGCCGAGTTCCACAATGGGTCTCGGAACGCGCGCCCGGCTGAGGCTCGATTTGTTGCTTTAATCAACGTTACCCACCGGTATTAACGTAATTAGAAGTCCGGTAGGTTGCTAACTGGTCGTATCGCCAATAGCTGTAGTTTTGGAAAATAGAAAAGCAGGCTAGAGGCGCTAGATATTTCCTTGCCGTATACCTGGGAAGGACTTAACGCAGGCTCGAATGCTCGGGGACTATAAGTAGGGACTAGAATGCAAGAAGACAGGATATGAATGTCAAGGAGTAGCGTCTGATAAAAATGATCTAAGGACCTTTTAGAGATGGCGTGCATCTTAAATGTAGTTAACATCCTTTCTGTGAAAGGTTTCTTCGATACATGGAATGTTACGTTCTATGTGTGTTATAAAGTTCTGTAACTCCGCGAGTCTCTGCATAATGCATTACGGTGGTCGTTTGTAGGTATTCATTCGAGACGGGTATGAATTTCGCACATATGGGTTACAAAATCGCAGGGGACAGTTTAGTGACGTAAGAGAGGAGACGTCATCGTCGACCTCCCGCGGTCTCGTCGGCGTAGAAAGTCATGAACGCCGGTCATTTATTCGCGATCGCAATACCAATTGCGCGAAAAGGCGAGTATCTGCGATTTAGAATTCCTCATACTTGCTGGGCAAATCCGGGCTTTATTCCGGACGACATGTTAGTTTCGCTCGGCGTGCCGCCTCGGGGGCGACGTGACTTCCAAGCTTCGATGAAGAGGACTCCGTTAAGCTTCGATTCGCTCGCGTTGTCCAGTTACTTTGTCGAGAGGCGAGGGCCGACGACTCTAAAGGCTCTCGGATGTCGCTATCGCGCGTCCCTAATAACAATGGAACGACTCCTTTGACCTCATTGGTATGCAAGGCGCGCTCCGAGTCGCTGAGAAAGAAGATATTCCCGAGACTATCTACTCCTCGATTATCTACTTATTGACCTTATAATGTAAAGTCGTAAGTGTAGTAAAATGTCTACTGGGGTAGTCTACCCTGAGATAAAAATTCTTCTCTTAGAAGGGAATCATTTCTTTGAATGGAATTAAACGAACTGCAGCATAAACTTACACACATTCGCGACCGGCAAATTTTGTTCCGTTTCAAATACTGAGTACCGGCGAAAATAATGAAATTCTGAGACTGGTTGCCGCAAACTTGTATAGTGTAACGTTATGGACGTGATTCACATTAGCGGTCGCGAATATGTTAAGGAAATATAGTCTTCATTATACAAAATGCCGAATACCTGTCCGATGCATTGCATTGACCGAATGCTTTATACCTTGAAATAATAAAGTAAGAAATCGAAACTATTTTTACTTTCTTTAAATCCATTGAAAAGAATAATTTTAGACAA